GCTACCCCGCCGGTGGCGTCACGAAGTCGGTTATTGTCTCGGGCTTCCCTTAGCGCGGCTCGTTCTCTCTCACGTGGAGAAAATTTCAAGAAAAACCTTTAGGACCAGGAGAGATCCGTCCACACGTATCCGGATATTTGTGAAAATTTCCTCCAGCCTAGTCCCTAGGCGTTCTCTTGACCCGTTTTTCCGCGCGATGTTTGACGGTACAGGGTCCGAAATTAACTTTTTAATACGGGCGCCAACTGGCGATCAAGTATAAATTTTTGGTCGCCAGAGGGCAAATTGTGGTCGCCAAAAATCCCCCCTCCCTTTTTTTTAAATAAAAGTTTTAACACGAATAAAAAATGCATGGTATGGACGTTTTTATGATCAAAAATTGCACTACTTTCGCTCCCAATACCAGAAAGCAACCGTACGTGTACGAGTGAAGTCTTATTTTTTCCATAAATTACTTTTTGGAGATATAAAGCTATCTGACCTAGAGCGTAGGAACAGAAAGCTGTCTGCCCATGACTGCACTGATCATGTCAAAACTCTATTTTCTTCCGATAACTATCAAGAAACGTAAACCCGAGTCAAGCCGCCATGTTGCTCCTACCAGGCCACGACCATCACTCGTACCAGTCCACAAAGTGCATAACGTACTTTAACTTACCGTTTTTCAGCTGAAAACATCATGGCGGCTTGGAAATCAACTCGTATTGATCGTAGCTGTTGTAGAGGTATTATTACAGGAAGGTTCGTTTCACTTTGAGTTAAAAAATATCAGCAGGACAAAAAGGAAGACACCTGTTTGCAAATAGCTTCGAGGATTCAATTCTTTATCAGTTTCTCCGAACGTTGAAGTCCACAATAAGGGCAGCACTAAAACACGGAATCCGGAATCCGGAATCCGGAAACGGAATCACGGAAACGGAAACGGAAACAGAATACGGAATCAAATATCAATGATAGAAAATTAAAGAATTTCACATCACACAATTTAGTACAATCCAGAGAGAATTTGTCGTAGTTTTCTTGGCAGTTTCCTTAAATATATTATTGTTATTGTGTCTTGATAAGGTTTGCCGTAGTGTGGGTTACTGCACTGCAAGGCCGATGAAAGTAATTTTACGAGTAATTTTTATTCACAAATTCATGGGTTGAATAATACAGTTAAATATGACTTTTGTAGCTAATTGTCAAGAATAGTAGTAGTTAGCCTCAGACTACACCACGTGATTGTCCCCAAACTGAATACTCCACACATGACCGACCGGTGACGTGACCACAGTTCCGGTGTTTTAGTAATAAGTTCAACTTTTTCGCCAAGCTGAATGCTGATGGAATACTGGTGTACCGGTAATTGAGTTTACGTGGACGTCCGTATTTTTGTTGAAGAGGCTTATTAAACATGGCGCATTATTTTGTTTTAATCGGTTGCGGAATGAAGCAAATGCATGCACAATTCTCTCTTCTCTTTGGACTCCACAATGTCATGGTTCTCTTGAGTACGTTGTCTTGATAAATAAAACTGAACACTGTTGAAGACAACCCAGAAAAGACACTGAGAAAAACTTGACGGCGACGCCTTTCAGTTATGTAAACGACGCCTCTGACGATTCAAACGAAGTCTGTCTCCATATAACTTACCTTTTTCTTAAGGCACTAGTTTTTGTCAGTAACGTTTTTCTCCTCGCTTTGCTGTCCAATGAGAATTTGCATTCATTGCCGATAGCGGTATCAAGCGTCTTTTCACCGGAATCGACTCCTCTAGTGATATAGCAGGTCTCCTCCCCTCTACTCAGCTATTTTATTCATTTGTGTCTTTTTTTATCTGTTTATTTATTTCATTGTCATTGCTAATATTCTTTTTTTCAAATCGATCGCTTGGAACCTTCTTTCACAGATTCCGTATTCCGTTTCCGTTTCCGTTTCCGTTTCTGGATTCCGGATTCCGTGTTTTAGTGCTGCCGCCACAATAACAACCAGCTTTACAAGTTGCGAGCTGGCGACCAGCTATGAACTTCTGGTCGCCAGGACTACATTTTTAGTCGCATTGGCGACCAGGAAGGCGCAATTTCGGACCCTGCGGTAGAGTCCATGATTGACCTCGCCGAGGTCATTATGTAGCAGGCTTTTTGATAACATTGTCAGTGATCCAAACCATAAATTGAAGGTGCTCCTTCCACCAGACTATGACAACTCACGCTTTAACCTAAGACGATAGCGCCTTTTTAATATGCCAAAGCTTTGCACGAACAGAACAAGTAATACTTTTATATATGCGATGTCGAAACAGTCCGGACTGTAGTTTTATCCCACTTATATTCATGCTTTATATTTTAACATATTTCAATATGAACATGTTATATAGAATTTTTAATATTATCTTAAAAATCAGTTTTCGACTTATTATCTAGGATTCATTTGTAATTTTCAAGTATTGTAAAGTTTTTGTAAATAATTGCGTAATTCAGCCTTTGGCTGCGATGCAGTTTTAATAAACTAACTATCTATCTATCTATCTATCTATCTATCTATCTATCTATCTATCTATCTATCTATCTATCTATCTATCTATCTATCTATCTATCTATCTAATCTATCTATCTATCTATCTATCTATCTATCTATCTATCTATCTATCTATCTATCTATCTATCTATCTATCTATCTATCTATCTACCTATCTATCTATCAATCAAACAAGAACGTCAGGGGACTAGGCTGCCTTTCGTCCACACACACATTCTCTTTCCTAGAGCCCCCCTGGGGGCCTGAGCATGAGGACCAGGAAGCTCTGGTGACGCATACGGTATTATAAAGGGGACACAGGATTTGGAGTCCTAGACTTTTAAGACTTCCGGTCATTTCTGATTTGTCTACAACATTTCTAAAAGCGTTTACTTGCTCTTGCCGAAGTGTCAATGACTGTAAATTTAGGTGATTCAAAGCTTTTAAAAGAGGATCCTCCAAGTTACTTTTGAATCGGAAACGAGCGGAAGTCCTAAAATCTAGGACTTTAAATCCTGTGTCTCCAGAGCCTCGTGGTCCTCATGCTCACGCCCCGAGGAGGCTCCGCGGCCGAGAATGCGCCACAAAAAAATGCTTTTGGGGGCACCAAAACACAGGTTTTTTGGAAACGGTCCTCTGAGTGCATATTTTTTAAAACGCCGGATTGTCGTTTTTCGTGTGGACGAACGAAAACGGATCGAGGTTTTCGAAATATGAGTCGTACATAATATGGCGGACGCTGTAACCTGTGAACAGTCCTTCGGTAGAGGGGCGAACTCTTTCCCCAAACAGAGAGCCTGTTCACAGGCTAGGACACTGTCGTATTTGCAACGTTTTAGCGTTTTACGTAGTCTCCCTTGGAGCCGTTTTTTGGATTTCACGTTACGTTATATCCAAAAAGGCGGCTTCGAGGGAGACTACGTTTTCAAGGGATGCGCGAAAACGATTTGAATACGATGAGTATTTTTTTGAAAACGGAGAAAAAAAATCTCCGTTTTTAAAAATATCCGGAAAATACCCCGTACCCTGTGCACCTGTGAAGAGATGCGCGACAAGCGCGCGCCTTGGGTCAATCTCGTTCCCAGAGGCCGCGATCCTTTTGGTCGGCGACGGGTCCCGATTTTTCCAGCGCATGACAAAAGGGACCCCTGGGGACGAGGTTGCACTAGGGTAGGGTTTAGGGTTAACCTGAGGGTTTAGGGTAACTAAACATTTTGTACCGTAGACCTCAGTCCTCCTCTTGTATGTTGCATCATCCGTCGCCATTTTATCAATGGATTTGTGAAAAAAACTGGAAGGAAAATCTCAGTGTTCTGGTTTAATTTATCACAAGGGGCCACTCAGCAATGGCTACAGACAGTGTTTCTTCACAAATTACCATAGGACAACCGCATTTGGCCAAGCAGGATATATCTAAATTGGTAAATAAGAAATTTTAAGGCGACTTTTTCAATCACGTGTTGTTTCTCCAATATGGCGGAATCGTGAGTTTTTTTATTACAGTTAGTTATAATATGTCCGTTTTCTGTTTTAGGATATATCAGAGTTAAATCCTCTCACTCCGGAGGTTATAAGTCGACAGGCAACCATAAATATAGGTGAGTTCAGTGAATTTGTGTCACAGCGATGCTAGAATGGATAGATGTCACCATCAATTTCCACTCTTTCTCAGTTTGTTGCTATACTTCGGTATTAACGAATGGTTGGAATACTGTTTTCAGGAACAATTGGTCATGTGGCCCACGGAAAATCGACTGTTGTCAAAGCTTTGTCAGGAGTACAGGTGGGCAATAAAGGTCGCATTTTTCAATAACAATAAATAATATATTTGAAGATGAAATAATTAAGACATGGTAAAAGCTGCTGCAGCTAAACTACATAATACAAGGCCATCTTAAACCATCCACTTATCCTGCATATCAAATGGACATTTGCCAGCTATTATACATAGGTACTATTTAGAAAAGGGTGGCTGTGGTCCACTCAGACCACCCTTACATGTAAGTCCGTGAGTTAGTTGAGAAAGTTGGAACAAGTGCAAGAAAAGGGAGAAAGCGCAAGGGTGAGGGGAAAATGGAGCAAAAATGCCCGCAAAAGTGGTGTGTCGAACATTGATTATAATCGATCATTGATTGAAAACTTAAAGCGGCCCAATAATTGATTATGGGTTGTGTTTAATTGGTTATTGGGATGAAAAAGGAATTCTTGTTGAAAAATAAATGTAAAACCAGATAGAGATTTATCCAATGGATAGCGTTAATCACTTCTTGAACAACTGGGGTCAGAGCTATATAAAATGTAGGTTTAGGCAAAATAATGCCAGCTTAAGTTTAAAATCAATTGAGAAAGTATGGGAAGTACTTGCACAAGGGATGCATTATGCCAGGACAGTCTCTAACAGGCTGTAATAATTATTCTGGTAGCGTTCTCAATTTTCATGATTTTACAAGACAAACCATAAAATGGTCATTCTTTTCCTTTCATCAGACTGTCAGGTTCAAGAATGAACTGGAGCGAAATATCACTATCAAGCTAGGTTATGCAAATGCTAAGGTAAGTCTGTGCTAAAAATCCCTTGAGGGCTACTGGGCCCCAACATTGGGCATGGCTTGGACCTCAGAAGATCATTGTCACCAGAGTGTTCATTAGCAAGCCTGCAAATAATAGCCAGTCATCGGTCAGATGACCGATAAAGCTTGGCCTGGTCTGTCACTCTCTCTTCCTTTTTTCCTTTTTTTGACCTACCAGACTGGTGTCTTGACTCGCAAAACCTGGTCCTTGTCCGGTCAAATGACCACCCTACAGCCAAAAGTTATTTGCAGGCTTGCATTAGGCATCGGAGTTGGGAGAATTCCATGTTTACTGTGCAGATTTCTCTGTCTAATGTTCGATAGCCTATGACTTATTTTTTTATTCAGACGTGGAGCCTCTTAAGAGATATTCTCCTGTAGCGTTAAACCTTTCTCCTGTCCCTGGAATTCTCAATAAAAACCCTGTGTAACTCTGTGCCACAAAATGTGCCCCCAGATTGGCCAATGTTCTTTGTTTTGGTAATCAGGATGTTTAACTGGGTGGGCATGTGTGCAATACCTAACTTAGAAGGGCATGGCTGTTTCTTTTACACCTTAAGGGGATCTTTCACGTTTAGTATCCCACACTTCTTTGTCGTTTGAATAAAAACTAAGATAATTATTGTGATACCGCTCTCTTTAAGATGGCTGATGTGTGTGTTTTGTAGATTTACAGGTGTGATGGGAGTTCCTGTCCCAGGCCTGGCTGCTATCGTTCTGCTGGTAGCGCCAGAGAAGATGTGATTCCATGTGACAGAATGGGATGTAATGGCAAGTTCAGACTTGTTAGGTAAGGAAACCTGCATCCAGACAGATTCAACTAATCTGATTTCAAGATACATGTAATGGATTATTCAAGCAATGACAGAGACAGTAAGAATTGTGTTTCAAGCAGTTAAACTCATCAACAATAGATGAGGCACCTGAAAGGGAGGGAGGGGTGGGGAAGAAATCAGCACAAGTTCAGTTAAGCTGCAAAACACTCTTTAAATTGTTGTGCAATGAAACTCGGCAATTTGGTTCCTAAAGACTTTAAGCCCTTTGACTTACCTGAGCTTTCCTGGCAGATTGTGAGCTGCTACAATAGAAACTGCTGGGCAGTTTTTTACATTTTAAGTTTGACTTTGCCTAAATTGTATTTAGCCACAGTTAAAACAGCAAGGAAAATAAATGAAGTGACTGTTACTTGCAGTTGTTCTCTGAGGACCAGCAAAAATCACTGTCTAGTTGTGAGGGAAGTGCCGGCTACTCGCAGAAAATAACTTTTGAGTGAGATTATGATAATAAATCTGTTGAACTTATCTCACAAAACATTTGTTCAAGAAAAACAAACATGATATGAAAGAAAAGAAATGAAGATAAGTACTAGCCTTCTGACTGACTGACACTGACTGTGAGGAGTCTGAGGATAAGAAAAGGAGAAAACATTGTGGTGGAGTTGCCTGCCAAAAATCTAAGAGTGTGGATGGCCTCCTTCACCCTTGTGGACCAGTTACTGGACCTGGGTGTTTTCATCAGACAAATTATTACAAGTCCAGTCCCCTAAGAAAATTCCCACAAGGAGACAAGTGAGCGCCCTGTAAGGACTGCAATCTTGCGTTTTTGCACTGTGTATTCAAAATTTTTGCTCTGTGTGTTATTCTGTTTCCATGTTTGCTGTCTGAAATATCTAGGTTCTGTCGTTTTTCATTCAGATTATTACCTCACTAGTTTTCTACTTGTCTGATTTTATTTAGCTTACAAGTTAGAATAAACAACATGACTTACCGTGCAGCTGTCGACTATCATCATTTTTCTTTTCTTTGTTTATATGCTTTCATTTCTTACCAACATTGCCTTCTATTATTCAAATCCAATTCAGCCGACCTTAAGATTCCTGTCTTAAAATATGACTCTTTAAAAAACTTCCATACTGTGCAGAATTGATCCCGCACGACTGCATTAACTTAATTATTTGCTGACTGAGAAAATCTTTACAACAAAATTATTTTTTTATGTGGCTTTCTCAATTAAGTTTGCTGATTCTCTTATCCTTGTTTGACACAAAAAAGATCATGATTTGTCTGCCAAGAAACATAAGTCTTCTTATACATACTGAAGAAAGCTTAATGCTTGATAATATAAGCTTAAGTCTTAAATGTTACTAAGTTTAGTTTTGGTTTTGCATAATTCGATCATGCAATACATCAACATCAACATAAACTTAAGCTTTAACACATAAATTGGGTGCTGCGGTAAAATTTTCTGACAATTTTAAGAGTAGAAAAAAATTAAATGCAAATGCTTTAATGTTTAATTCAAAACGCTAAGATTCGTATGTGAAAATAGTTCTTTTTCAAATCCTTCTTGCACTATTGAATTAATCATCATTGCCAAAGAAAAACTTCGAGAATTTTTTTTGTTTGCGTATTCTTTTATCCTTGTATGACACAAAACCCGCTCATAAGTTTTCTACCAAGATACATATACTTACATCAACACGTATTTAATTTTATGAGTAGGAAAAATATAGATACGTTATTTAATTTCACGAGTAGGATAATATAGATACATTACTTGCTGGTCCAGGAGGATTCAGATGAAGGAATATCTTAGATAAGTTTTTCTAACACCATTTTCCTTTTGACAAATGAGCAAACTATTGTAGGTCCCAGTAAGAGGGTTTTTGTCTCTCAAAATTCCCCCATTATAAAGTACACAAATTAGATTTTTATGCATGAGCCAACATGCCAGAAGGTCTTCAACCCTGTTGATATTTGGCAGGCATCACTGTCACTTTCTATTCTCTCCCCATCCTCTCACTCATTCTCTAAAACAGGACAGTGAAGCCTCCAGAAGAGGCTAGATAAGTACATAAAGTTGCTATCCCCGTGGCTAAAATTCTTTCCCTGGTTGTTCAAAATGCACTGAAATACATTTTTCAGGGTGCTGCCCCCGGGAAAAGTTTTATTTTTACCTGGGGTTTATAGATCTATAATCCAATACTGCATCTTTTTCATTTAACATAGTAGGGAATGTTTGTTTCACTGTAAATGATTTGTTTTCAGGCACGTATCATTTGTGGACTGTCCTGGTCACGACATTCTTATGGCAACCATGCTGAATGGTGCAGCTGTTATGGATGCTGCTCTTTTACTTGTAGGTTAGTGTTGTTGTAGAGAGTTGGTAAAGATAATCAATCTATCAACACCACTGAAAAAAGCACCTTGGTATCAGTAAAGTTACAAAGTTTGATAGTTTGACAGTAATAGGTTGGGAACCTTCAAAGATCTGGCATCATAAAGTCATGGAACAAAAATAATAGTTTTGGTCGAAGTTTCACAATTTTGCAGAGCTCTAACTTTGCTTATGAATTTAAGAGATACCACTATAATTATACTTCATAAGTTTGCTATTATTTTAAGGTGCCCTTTCTAGCACTTTCATTGGATTTTCTCGAACAGGTTGTTGTCAGAGGCAAAACAGTCCCACACTTGCTGATCTTTAAACTAAAATTTGCATGTAATCAATCAACATTCTAAAGCTAGTTATGCCTATTTTGTGACAATGTTATATTTAATTTTGTGATCTGACGTGGATAATTTTGTGGAAATGAGGCCTTCTACATGCAAACAGTTGTCTATACTAAAGATGAAAGCTAATGCCCAAAAGTTGGTAATTAGTCTCGCTTGCATAGGCAGCCAGACTGAAAATCTGCAACCCTTTTGTCTTCATATTTATGACACAAAAGGGGGGTCATTGTGCCAGGCATTCCTAGCGGAGACTGTGGAAATTGGGAATATGAATTGTTGCGTGACCGAAGCCATGCATGTTTTGCGAAGAAAGCTTAGGGAAGATTAAATTTAGCTTTTGAATTGAGTTGAAAAGTTGATCTGTTTTTTAAAAAATTGTCACACTTCAGGGACATGTTTTGAAAAGTAATCTTCATTTGTTGTTCATCTCTTTATTAACATTCCACTAAAGATGCACCACTGTGTCTTTTGTTAACTGGGCATTTCCACTGTGCCCACAATTTATTATTATAAATTTTACTTTCTTTGTAGCTGGAAATGAATCTTGTCCTCAGCCACAAACTTCCGAACATCTGGCAGCCATTGAAATAATGAAGCTCAAACATATAATTATTCTACAAAACAAGATAGACCTGGTCAAAGAGAGCCAAGCAAAAGAACAGTATGATCAGATCCTCAAGTTTGTGCAAGGTGATAAAATAGCTTGAATCTGCTCATTCTTAAACTCACACTTCAAGTAACACAAACTGAAAGTATGGAGATTCCCAATTTTTTCTGTTGCAAGGGTTTAAGTTGATTGGCATAGGATATCATTGACATAATCGCAAGTTAGTTTAGAACAAATCTGAAAAAACTTCATAATGGATCATTGGTTTAAAAGGGTCAACATTCTTTCTATATAACTATTAACTGCTTCCCATAAATCCTCAGTTAAGCCACCCCCTTTCCAGGGTTAGAAAGCTATTTGTTTTGTTCCATGTTTTGCGTAAGCACAAGCTACAACCAGTTGCAAAAGTACCTGAGACACTGTACTATATTTTGGCTTAAATAGCCTGCCCGTGATCTTGAGCTTGTAATCCCCCCTCCAACCTATATCAAAGTTGCTATCAATACATGACCACTCTCAAAACTTGGAGGAACAACTTTGAATGAAAGGGAGGATGGAGGTCAGTATTATATCTCACAGATGTGTGACAAGCAGCTATTTGAAGTAGGAAAGGTCAGTTTTTCGTGGAAGTGTTTTCGACATTTTTGCAAGTGGTTGTAGCTCAGCTCACCCAGCAAAGAAAATGAAGAGGCAAAAGAATAATTATTTTGCACACATTTTCCTTATGTTAAAATTCCCCTCTCTATTTATAACCCCCCCCCCCCTCCCCACCCGTTATTTCTTAATGACTGTATTATTTTTGAATCAAGACTGCAACACTTTATGTGTTTTGATCTGGTAGGGTCTATTTATGTGCTGGAAGTGTGTTATTACTAATGTTTTGATCTTTGGCTGCATGGCCTCCAAGTTCATGTGCTTGAGCTTTTCCACTTTGCATTCTACAGATGTAGCTTTTATGGAGAATTTATACCATCATGTTTGATAAATTAAGTAACAGGGTTTGTACACTAAGGTCATGGAAAACCTGGAAAGTCGTGAAATGTAAGAATTTCACTTTCTCATTCATAAACTAGAGGTTCTAACTGTAGTGATTGACCAGGAAAATTTTGGTGGTTCAGTGGCCATGCCTATGAGAGGTGGTTACTCATGGACATTCAACTGAATATTTGTTTCTTTCCCTAGGCACAATTGCTGAGGGAGCTCCTGTTGTTCCAATTTCAGCTCAGCTGAAATACAACATTGAAGTTATTTGTGAATTTATCTGCAAAAAGATTCCAGTTCCTGTCAGAGATTTTACATCCAGTGCTAGACTTATAGGTAGGTATTTCCACTGGGTATTCTAAGAAAATTTAAAACAAGCAGTACCTGTTGAAAGCGCTTGATATCTTTTATTATTATTATTATTTGTGTGATCTCATCTGTCTACTAAGTGTTACAATCAGTCCATAACCTTAAGAAAAAGAACTGCTAAATATTATATATTCTTCATGTTTAAAGTTCAATGTGATTATGACTGTTCCTAGGATTTCATACACTAATGCCTTGTTGAAAATTAGAGCATTTAATCGCAGTCCATTTCTGTTTAAATTGACAAAACAACAATATTTGGAGTTAAGAAAGGAGCTTATATGTCAGAGATTTTAGGGTGTATATAGGTAGCTGATACTTATTTGTGGTGCAGATATTGATGTAAAGTAGCCCACTTTTGAAGTAATGTTGGTTAATTGTTTGTTGTGTAGTTATCAGATCTTTTGATGTAAACAAGCCTGGTTGTGAAGTAGAAGAACTCAAAGGAGGAGTTGCTGGAGGAAGTATATTATGTGGTGTCCTGAGGGTATGTCTTACCTTGCTCTGATACCAGCTCCTACACATGTCCAAGATCTTGTTTGTTTAATTCTACTTTTATTGTAGTTTTAGACTCCAGGTATTTTGTTTTTGTCATGGTCTATTTGTATGTATTATCACCAAGCACATTTTTTACATTTTTCACCCTTGAACCCATATGTAACATTAATTTATTCTTTATTCATTGTACATTTGATTCCTTCTCTTTTTAGCAGTCTCCCTATCACCCTGTCAGATTTACTTTCAGCAACTAAATATTCACCATTTCATCTTCATCTTCCCGGGTATTATTACAAACCAGATTAGTGACCATTTCCCAGTTGGCTTACTAGCTCAGTTGGTCAGGCCGTGCAGCACTGTTATCACAGAGGTCACTACGGTTCAAACCCCGGCAAGCCTGACTTTTTTCAGCCTTTCTTTTCGTAACTGCGTAAGTTGCATCTTTAACTGCGATGACCTTTGAATTTATTTAAAGGCATTGTGCTTGTTGAGTAGACCATTGTGGAGGGACTTATTTTCGTCTAAGGGAAAATGACTTGATCACCTACAACCAAAATTTGGTTGATGAGTCAAATCTGTGAAACATACTTCATAAGGTCATGATACTGAAAGCCTTCAATCGTTTGTATCCTTTTCACAGGTGAATCAAGAAATTGAAGTAAGACCTGGTATTGTATCCAAGGATAGTGAAGGAAAGCTTCAGTGTCGTGCTATTTATTCTCGTATTGTATCATTGTTTGCTGAACAGAATGACCTTCAATTTGCTGTTCCTGGTGGACTTATCGGTAAGAGTAATAGCTGTTCCCCCCTTTAACCTCCAGTAGTTAAGGCAGTGTGTGTAGCTTATTGTCTCATAACCCAGATTTCTTGTTGACAAAGCCGAAGGTGAGATCTGGTACAATCTGATTTGTGCTCGTCATTGCCTCTCGGGAAAGTGACGGGCAATAAAACAGAACATGCTTGAAATAAATCCTCAAAATGGCGGCCGTGTTAAGCAACGACTTTGATAGAGCCACAAATTTCAAACTGACAAAATGTGGTTAAATGCACTGCTTGAAGCCCCGTGCAAACGGACACAACATAGTTGGATGTTACATATTGCATCCATTTGCACACCCTGTTGTTGGAAGTTGTTTCGCAAAGTTTGAAATTGGTCAAGTTTTTAGCTAGGTGCAAACAAACGTAACAACTCCCAACATTGTTGGCCAAAAATGTTGGGAGTTGTTGCATTCGTTTGCACCTAGCTTAAGTTGTTGTTGTTGTTGCTTTTTTGTAACATCAAATTCAACAAGGCAGTTACTTTAAATTTTTGAGCTATCATAGTGCACGCTCAAAGCTTAAAGTAGTACGCGTCAACTTCTATACAACAGTTTTTTTACCATATCCTCTTCAAAAGTAATCTTAATACCAAGAGAAAATTTTAAGTCTTTTTGATAAAAAGGGTTTAGAGGCTATATTCAGGCTAATTCATAAAAAATATATATTTGTTGTGAACAAACTGAGGTCTTCGCAAATAATGAATTGTACATGCCATAGCACGGGCAGGTAACAACACTCATGTCAGTAGCTCACAGCATTTAAATATGATCAAATGCGCCAATCAGAAAAACTGAATTTTCTTATTTGACCAGATCTCAACGACAAGAGATCTGCATACAAGATTATGTAGCTTAAAATAAGTAATTTCTTACAAGAGGATTTCATGGGTTTAGAGTTTTGGAACTCTCTACAAGATTGTGCGAGCATTGTTCTGGTGCTGGTAGTTGGCATGTGTAAAAGTACAATGTATTGGCTGTGTTCTGTTCAATCTTCTCACTTGTAACTGTGCTTTTCATTGAAGGTGTTGGAACAAAAATTGATCCTACATTATGCAGAGCTGACAGGATGGTAGGACAGGTATTGAATGCATTTTTCATACATTGCACACTTACACCAGCTGTTGCCCTCCAACACCAAAGTTCCTCCCACTAGTCCACTTGTCATTCATTCGTTCTCCATGAATCTCTACCTTATAAGCCACCTTGTCTTTTATTTTCATGTGCTGCATGCAGTTAACTGATAACCAATAAGATGTGGTTTTTTTCTTGTACATAAAAAAAGTTGATGCCTTTAGTGAGGGTTTGTATTTGGTGGTTTCTTGACTAAGTGCCTGGCTTAGTTCTTCACAGTCACTCTTTAATAAGTAGTTTTCTCTCTTTTTTTTACTATTGTAAAGACAATAATTATTAGTATTGGAAACCACTGATAGATCAGAGAATAATTTTATTTTTGCAAACAAACCATCCACCATCTTTCAAGAAAGCAATTATTTGCTGCTGCTGCTGCTGTAGTGTTCTTACCTATTGTGATACTTGTAATGGCTGTTGTGATACTTTGATATTTGATATTTTTGATATTTTGCTCATGGCAGGTACTGGGTGCTGTTGGTACACTTCCTGAGATTTACACAGAGTTGGAAATTAGTTACTTCTTGTTGAGAAGACTGCTGGGAGTTAGAACTGAGGGCGATAAAAAGGGAGCCAAGGTGAGCAGCAGTGATGTCCACCTTGTCAACCAAGTGTCAAATTGTGTGTAACTGTTAAATTGCTTTGTATGAACTCACCTGATATTGTGCAATGTTGCAGCAAGCAATAAGAGTCTCCTCCTACACCAAAATTACATGCATAGGTGTGACCCACATTCCGTATTAACATTTCATGGCAGACCTGCCCAAAGTCGACCTCTCGTAAGTTCTTGATTGAGAGCAGTCTCTAAAACCAGCCTTAATGAGGTCCCACGTAGGCCAAGTAATTTAATAAAGTGGCCAACCAACCAGCAAAAAATTAAGGACTTTGGGAAGGGAAGGTTGTCCGTCTTATGCATGCACATAGACTTAGTGGTTCAATTTTATTCTTGGTGCAAATTTCATTTTCTTTTTCTTTCAATTTCGTTATTGCACACTAAGAACTGATGACCTTACCCAAAACAGAGTAAATTAAAATTTACGCAAATTTACGCCAAGGATAAAGTTGAACCGCAACACTATAGGAACAAACAATCAGATGCACAATTATAGAGGTTTGATAGAATATTTTATTCTGTTAAAACAAAGAGATGTTTTTTATTTTGCAATCTATAATTTGTTTTTCAGGTGCAAAAATTATCCAAAAATGAAGTGTTGATGGTAAACATTGGTTCGTTGTCCACCGGCGGCCGTGTGTTAGCAGTCAAAGCAGATTTAGCAAAAATTGTACTCACTCAGCCAGTTTGTACAGAAACTGGTGAAAAAATTGCTCTCAGTAGGAGAGTTGAGAAACATTGGAGGTATGTGTATGTTTTGCTTTTGCGAGAACTGGCCTCTCAGGCCCCGTACACTCAAATAGGGATAGATTCTTATGGAGGGGACCTTAATTGCTTTTGTGCAGTGCTGACTTACGCGGACAGTGAGACTTGGCTTCTTTTGCTACAATATACGGTAGTGTGCCAATTGTCTCCATTCCAGAAAGGTGCTGTTATTACAGTTTAAGAAAGTTTCGTTTTTATTTGGGCATTAAGTTAAACATTTATGGTTGTTTTGCAAAGCATGAATACAGTAATTTTTCTTAGTATGATTACATCTTAGAACCCCAAATGATAGTTGAAGTCTTGATGATCCTCTAGATGTGATCATCATCATCACTGATCACTGTTATTTTTATGACACTGCAATCCCATTTAACCATGGAGTGGTCATTTATGGTACAGTCAACTCTCTCTAAGACGGACACCCTTGGGACCGGCACTAAGTGTCCGTCATAGAGAGGTGTCCATCTTATAGAGAGTCAAATAAAAGGAGTAAAGAAAGGTAGGGACCAACTCTAAGTGTCCGTTTTACAGAGGTGTCCGTTAAGAGAGAGTCGGCTGTATGCTGTAAAGCCCATAGAACTGTAAATTCATAATTCAAATGTTTCTCGTGTTCTTTGGATACGATTTGCAATGAATCCCTTTCTTTGCAGGCAAATACTGCTCGTTAAACGTTTCTAGGATGTATTATATAATTATATTATTGTATTATGAGTGCAGTGGAATATGATGACAACCAAGAGACGGGCGGTCAGAAAAAAAGTTTACAATTTTGTGGACTTGGTGATGTTGATTGTCTCTTAGTTTCTGACACCGCGACTCATTTTTAGTACCATTCAATATCTAAATCTTATCATCGGTGCATTAACTACTGGACATGTCTCCCCAATCATTTAAGAAAACCCATGCCACGCAAAATTTTTAAGTGGGACATAAAGATGGTTTAATTGCAAAGTATTTTTAGTTTGTTATATTTTCTGAGCGGTTTTCACTTGACTGTCGTAAAACCAAAACCAAAGTAAATACACTAGCCAACCAAAGGGCGTAGTAAAACCAAAACCAAAACCAAAACCAATCCCTTTCGACAGTCAAGTGAAAACCGCTCTAACAGGATTTGTAATGTTTTCCTTGCATTACCCTTTTTGTCTGAACGTTTTGCTGGTTTTCTTACAGGTTAATTGGATGGGGCCAGATACGACGTGGAGTAACCATTAAACCAGAGTCATAACATAGCCTGCCTAACATATCAGCGGCTATCCCGCTATTATCTCAAGATTCCAAGTTTTATTTGTGTGTCATTACCAAGATGAAGTCTAATTTTCGTTTTTCTTGACCGGAAAAGATGTTCTTGAGAACAGCACGTTATTACTTTCTGATTCCATCCCAGCCCCTCCCCCCCACCCCCAACCCCCCCCCCGCCTAAAAAAAACAAAGGAAATACAGAAAACAAGAGCTCAGTAATTCCTTGCAATGTATTTTTAATACTATGACAAGTCAAGAATTCCCGAGAGAGAATGAGCGGCTTTTGTAGTTACCAATTAGTGCAGCTTTAGTACTGACATGGCTATTCTTAGGCATGTTAATAGAACCTGGTCAAAGCTTCGGTTTTGATTGGTCCAAACAAATATACATGTTACTTCGCGGTTAACAGATCCAAATATGTGGAATTTGTCTATTAGTTACCGCAAATAGAATCAAAAACAGACGTGTTGATCGCTAATCCTTTAATTGTATTAACTTCAGTGAGTTGTCAGTAACGCTAAACCGCTACATCTCAAATTCTCAACGTGACTTAAAGAACTCAGACCAGCCAAGAGAGGTGTAAGATGGGGGCATAGAATAATAGCAGCGCCAGCGCCCCAAATACTGGCATGATCTTTACAAGTCTTAAGCATCTTTCATTTCTGTTTGAAATGTTTTTTCTTGAGGACTCCAGGTAACCTATTAAAATACTCGGTATTAGAAGTCTTAACGAATACTCCGTTAGAAACAATTTTTGTTGCACCACTGCAGTCAAAACAAAGAATATTATTAAGATACATAAATATTTTAATAAAAGTCGTCTTGAATCCCAGCCACTCGCTTGGTTTCCTCTGTTTGTAATTTAGCAGTCTACTACTCACTTTCCTAAGTAAGTTTTCTGCCTCGCTTTTGTTAAAATTTAGAATGCAGTGCAGGAGACGCGGGCGAATGTATAAACACAATTTATAATCATCCCGAAATTAACTACGGGCAAATCGGTAAATTTTATTCCAAAAACGTTGCACAAATCAGTTCCATTTAGGCTTCGATAGATTGTGGTTGCAAAAGTACCATAATATGCTACGAGGAGTTAGATCTAAAATTATGCCAATAATTATGACAGTTTTTGTAATTATGCTCGTTTTAGCCAAAAAAATGTAGAATGTTTACTTTAAATCTGGTAAAAGCAATGCAACAGTCAAGTAACGGACACGGACGCCATCTTGGGTAACCAACCGAGATAGTTATGAGCATGCTGAGCCCTGTGGAAGAGTCCTTGCCTGGTCCCTGTACGGCGTCTTCCCAGGCCTTCTCGGTCAATGCACTTCGGTGACGTTCGACGACGAGCTCGCTCAGACCACGTGACCCGCAGACCTCGGCAAAAAGAGTCCTTGGTCACTTCCTGTTGGACCCAGGTCCGATGACTGTTCATAAGCAGAACTACAGTTGAACCGCTGTTAAGCGGCCATCCTTAGGGTACTGGCATGTAGCCGCTGAATAATGAACATAGAGGTTCGTTGTACAGTGTAAATAAGCAGAATTTAATCTTAAGTTGAAGCATCACTTTCTTTTGAAACAAGCACTCGATGGGAGGCGAGCGACCCAACTGCGAATTACTGGTCCACAACCAGTCATCACCTCTTATCTCGGACTGTATTTTCCTTCATCATAGAGCTTGAAATAAAGTCAAACTAAGCACTAAGTGTATCAAGCGCTTGATGGCCGCTTTTAACGAGAGTTCTCCAATTGAGAACTCTCCGTGGAACAACCAAAAGGTGGCAGCTCAATAGAGGGAGGTTTAAGGTCCTATTCTACAACTATTTCGGGACTTTGATTATGGGCCGCTTACTGTGTACAGGGTGGCACGCTTACTGTACAAATCAGGACAAATGATAGCCAATCAGGTTTGAGAATTTTGTTATTGTTATGATGCCAAAAATCATGCTAGCACAATCTATGAAATAATAGCAAACAGCAAACAATCTATGAATAATAGCCAACGCTCGATATATTAAAATGTGTTTTCTAACATGACTCCGAGGCTTTCAGGTTTTTTATCTGCATTTGTTTTGCCTCCTTTGTGCCCAAGTCTCCTCTGGGAATTGCGAGACAATGGAGTCGTAAAAAATTTGCAATTTCGGAGTCAAGTTAGAATTTTATCGAACGTGAGCTTTCCGATCAGAATTTGACGGCGTTCAATGACTGGCGGCAAAGAAATGAACATAAAAGCTGCCCCTCTTGCTAAATAACCTATCTTTTTTTACATTTTCGTTGCTGTCTGCCTGTCTCCTTCATGATTAAGACCATTGAAGAGCGACGCGCATAAATACAGTCGACCCTTTGTCGAGCCAAATAGTCTACTGATTTTACCTTATAAGGTAAATGAAAGTAAACAAAGAAAACACTAGGGTCGTATTTCACCTTCATGCATCTGTTCAAAGATTACAGGAAGGGAATTCTGTCCAATAAAGAAAGCAGTTTTCGTTAATTATATTAAAATTTACACTTGGCTTCGAGGCTTGGGAATAAAACAAAAGAAGCCACCTTGACGTGGTTCTGGGATGAATATTACATTTCTTTTGTTTCATCCCGGAGCCTCGGAGCCGAGCATAAATTTTAATATTATCGAAGTTGTTTATTCTAATCATAGCTCCCATTTTTTTTTTCGCCTTGGGGGATTAGAAACTTAATAGCTAGCGCGTGATGGTATTTCATCCTTTCCTGTACATCACCCTACAACCTCACAAGAGGGCTCTGGAACATTACCCAGATGTATTCACAGGGTGGCCGTGTTTATAATCTCAATCCTTATACCGCAACCAGCCCTGAGATCGAGAAGATATAGTAACATATGAAACCGATGAATTACTGGCTTTCCAACTGAATCCTGTATCATACCTGTTTTCCTCTCCTTGAGTCCCACTCTTGAGGTCAAGAGACTGTGAAAGAAATAGAACAAACAAAAGGATCTTTCTTCTTCAACCGGATTCAACCTGTTTATCGGAGGGACTTTAAAAAATTTGGAACAAAAACAAAGATTTGCTGTTTTAAATAAATTTGTGCACATGTGTATGTGATTTTTCTTTTAATATCATTGCTTCGTTCGCATAAAAAAACAACTCCTTAAGGTGTGCTTGAGAAGTTTGGTTTAGAGTTTTACGCTTGAACTCATTAGGTTACGATTTATTTAGCATACTTCTATTAATAGATTATTTGCTCGACTGAACATTTATGAAATTCATGTCTTCTGAATAAAATACAGATGCGAGTATGATTCAGTTTTATACTTGTCGTTGTGTAATCAATGGACAATCCTCTGAAAGGAAAAGAGTCGTGATGAATTATATTTACGTCATCGTGTCCTCTTCCGCCAATGCAAAACATATTGACTGAGACCCAACCATTACCACAAGTTTGATTGAAAGGCTTGAAAAGAGCTTGTCAGTCAAGATCAGATAATTGATCGAAAGCAAAACCTGTCTGCTTGACTCTAGCCAATCATGTTCGACAAAACGTTTTCAATAATGCACGTAGGGTCAAAAACCAGACGAACAGGCGCCGGTTCAATAGCAAAGACAAAGGTTTCAACAAACAGGAAATTGACAAATCGCCACGCAAGCGCGTTTGATGTTTTTAACATTTTTTTGTAACCAAATAAGGCTATGACACTCTTGCATCATACTTTGCATGTAGCATGGCAGCTTTGCGACGATAAATGCCCTGTATGTTTTCACGTGCACATCACGTGAAAACTAAAGGTGTACACAGAGTCCACTTGCTATTCAACATCGTTATTGGTATTTATTAAGATTTTTTTATTCAAATAATTAGAGCAGTGTCACGGGAAATGTTTTTTCCGGTTTTAAACATACATTTCGGCACCAGAGGGAAAATAACCGATTTACTGTGTTGTGATGTTTACTGTTTTGTGATGTTCCTCAAAATAAAAGGAACCTCTGTAAAACCATAAGTTCCAGTGCGCTTTCTCATCCGTTTGTCTTTGACGCATCCAATAATTTGTCGTTGTCGTTGTCGTTGGCAAGTCCTAACATGATTGGACACTGCGAACTTGTACTCTTCTTGAAATGATGAAAAATATTGCAACAAAGAGGGCAGACAATTTCTACCTCCCCTCCAGAAGCCGCCTTCACTACGAGGAGCATGAATGCGCGCGCATTGCTACCCGGTGGCCAACAACTGATTGTTATTGGTTGGTAATCATAGAAGGACCTATCAATCAACTAAATAGAAGCAGCTGATTGGCTACATTTGACATTTCGCCTAATATGTCAATCTTTCTCCAGCCCACACCTTTCAAAATTTCGTGGCGAAAATTCGCATTCGCATAGTCTTGCGGGCCCTCAACGAATATCATATCAGCATGCGAAGTGGGTGTTGGGGATTTTAAAACAATATGGCTGCAGTTCTTCCTTCTTCCGATTCCGCAGATGTGGGAGTTCGTCTCAGCTCTGTAAGTCAGTGCCTTGTTTAACGCTGTCGAAGTCAGATGCATCCGAATACTAAAACTGGTTTATTTTTCAGCTGAGCCCGAAGTATTTGCATACGAATTCGACAAGTCACACTTGGCCTTTCAGCGCCATCGCGGAACTCATCGGTGAGCTTAAGTTTTGTGGATATTCGGCGCGAAATTGTTTAGTTTGGGTTCGTTAGATTTATCCCTGGTCTTGTTTTTTTTAGACAATGCCTACGATCCAGACGTAAATGCCAGCCAGTTGTGGATAGACGTAAAAAAATATAATAAACATCCTTACTGCTTAGTTTTCACTGACAACGGAGCCGGCATGGGTCCCGAGAAACTACATAAAATGCTTAGGTAAGCTTAGAATGTTTTCCTCCAGCTTCTCCGAATTTAAATAATGGCTCTTCATTCATTTTTTTAACTTTTGAATGCTCACATGGGGATTTCTTCTTTATTTTCCCAGCTTCGGGTTTTGCGATAAGGTAAGATCAAGATTGAGAGTTTTGCCCTATTTCGACGTTGCGTTACTTGGTACATTCTTTGCAATCGTTTACAGTTTGACTTGACTTGAGTAAATTTTGGCCGGGCGTAATCATCTTGTTATTTAAATATGATTATATTATCAGGTGGCTATGAAGGGACAGCATATGCCAGTCGGACACTATGGCAATGGATTTAAGTCAGGATCGATGCGGCTTGGCAAGGATGCAATTGTTTTCACTAAAAACGGTGCTACGCAAAGCGTGGGGTTTCTCTCGCAAACCTACTTAGAAGCCACAAAAGCGGAGACAATTGTAGTACCGATAGTAACTTGGGATTCAAATGGAAATATCCTTTAATAGAGAATGGAAAGTTTAAATTGAGTGTTCCGTAGATAGTTGTGAATGAGGATGGAAGCAATTGTGATCTGTTTGTTACTTCCGCCATGTTGGTGTTCGCGCGAAACTCGAATTTGGCGCCCTATATTATTTTCGACGGAAGTGATTATTTTGTGCAGTTTAGAGCTACGGTACTTGATGACTAGTGAGAGTGTCGTGATGCAGGATTTCGAACCTGTTGTGGTTTCCTACTTTTAAAGGTGAATATTTTTTTTAAATTCTTTGAAGGAAATCTATTTGCCAAATAGTAAGTTCAAGGGTGAATTGAAAGACTTAAAGATATTTTCCCACAGATATTTCACCTTAAAATTAAAAAGAAAAAACTTAAATATAATTTAATTAAAGATTGTTGATATTATCTATTTGTATAGAGATGAAATAGCAAATATGCATGTCATTGCTGCCCACACAGGGCAGCTACCTATTTTTGTCTTGAAAGCATCTAAGAACTCAATTTTTCAGGAAGGTTGTTTCCCTGTTTGTGAGCAGTTCCCAGTCCTTACCACGTAGCACCCTATGCAGTGAAGTAAAATGGCAGCCAAAATTTTATGTGAGAATTGTGTGAGTGCTTAGAAAGTGAAAGTCTGTGATTCTTTCGGAACACGCTTTAAAAGGAAATGGCGATAAACTTGTTATAGAGTTTCTTAGCAATCTTGAATCTGCAACCTCTTTGTTAGACCTTCGTAAGTGTTAGGTGTGAGGTTGAAGTCGAAAGTCAGACGCAAGTGTGAGGGACAGTTTAATATTTTCTGCAACGTAGCCAGTAAGTTACTCATTTGCTTTTCGTGTCACTGTTGTAAAGTTAGATACTTTGGGAAGGTAGTGAATGTTAAGGCGCGATTAAAGGGGAAGACAATGTTCTTTCCTGTGTTTCTCAGGACTGTCGTTCCATGAGCTCAGCCAGTTATCAGCTGTGGATCACAATCAACACAATCAACCAAATCTTGTCACAAGGAACACAATTTTAAAAGCATTGTAAACAATCAACTCAGCAGAATTGTTTTTAGCAGATAACCTTCCTAGTATGTTCACTACTTTTTCTAACAAGGTGAATGGAACAACAAGGCGAACAAAATGAAATACAATAATATTACTGAGGTCATAATTTGCCCTTGCAGTGAGGCGAATGAAACAAACAAATTGCTGACCGAGGTGTGTTATGTGCATCTTTGTCTTATTTATTATGATAAAGTATATTTATATTTATTTATTATAAATTCCTTGACTTATCATAAAAATTGAACCAAAGTCAGACAAGGATAAAGCTCTTCAAGACATCCTGACATACTCAATTTTTAAATACAAGGAGGAATTATTAGCTGAGTTTGCAGGAATTCAAAACCCCAGTGGTACCCGTATTATTATATTTAATGTTCGATCAACTCCTGATGGTAAACCAGAGTTTGATTTTAGCACATCTGATGACCTAAGAATTCCGGAAGACACTGACTTGGCCATTAGCAAACTGAAGAAGCAAGAGAGACAAAACCACATTCCAGAGTCTGATTACTCTTTACGGGTAAGTAATTTATTTAACAATTAGCAAATATTAATGAATAAGGTTCATGAATATGATGTGAAGAATTATGCAGTCTATCCAGTAGGGTGTCCATCATCGGCAGATAACACCCTCCATAATCTGTAGAATTCTTCAGATCATACAAAAGCCAAATCCAAAAGTTTTTGTTTTATAATTCATTCACGATATTTCTTACTTTAAAAACATGCTTATGTCAGTCGATGTTAGTTCTTGTTGTCATTTGCTTGTTCTTCTTCAAAACAAGATATAAACAGATGTTTAATAGTTTAGCACTGAGATTTTCCTCAAATAGCAGTTGTCATCTGTTGATTTGTATTTTTGCCTCATCAATTGCATTTTGTTTTCTAGGCTTATTGTGCAATTCTTTACTTGCGTCCCAGGATGCAGATTATTTTGAGAGGTAAAAAGGTGCGCACCACAGTCATAACAAAGAGTTTGAGTAAAACAGAAGTGGATAACTATCGGCCTTCAGCTGCAGTACGTGAAGCTAACACAAGTACACTTAGTCTGGGATCTGTATCCTATTTGATATGTATATGAACTCAGGATCAGTACCGTCTTTGTTTATTTATTCATTATTAGTTTGTTTAAGTGAGCAATTTGGTACATGGACATGATTATCCTTTTGAAGTAAATTTTTTATTTTTATTTTATTTCTAACACACACACACATTACAATCTGTAGAGAAAAGAGAAATGGCGAAAAAGAAAAGAGACTATAAAAGCTCACGAGAGACTTGGTCTCCTTGAACTACAGACAGTAATGTTACATCAAGTGAAGCAGATGATGGGTAGAGAAAAGGTGGAAAAGATAAAAGATAATTTTTCAAAACTATTAAGTACAAGTCATAAACAAGGTGCTTTGAGCATTGCCAAAATTTGACAGTTTCAACAGGTGTCAGCCATTCACAAAACCTACATTATTTGTTTTTGTAATTTCTAGCCTGATGAATTTCTTCAAAAGATGGTTGTTATCTTCACTCCCAAGGGATGTATTCCAGTTATTTCATGTTATTTGTTGATAATCTGAGGGTCAGTAACAAAACATGTTTGTATAACCCAGGGCTGTTATGAAGGTTTTCAGTGGCTAAAATATCAGCCTGTCATTTATACCACAAACTACTGTAAGTAATTGGCTGATTTTACTGCAGTAGCCAGTTAAGAAAGCCAGTTGCCAGATACTAATGACAATAACCCTGAAGACCCGATGTTTTCACTTTAAAGAGTAAGGCCTTGATTTGAAGATCTCATATCCAATGTCAGAGGTTTTCCTTGGGGAAGGCATGTCCCATCCTCACACTGTCCTTATTCCTGGTTTTGAGGTTTTTGTAAACTTAACATTTTCTCTCCAAGAAAAAGGTCTTCCTTGATGATGGAGTGTGAGTTAATGACAATAATAATTATATAGGCCTGCCTCAGCTACAGTGAATTCAGTAATAAAGAGGTAAAAAGTCAAATGGATTAAAGTTGTTTTCTTAACAAATGTGGCAACATGACAGGTCAATAAAGGAGTAAAAATAACATTTGGCTTCAGTCAGAACAGGAACCATTATGGTATCATGATGTACCACAGAAACCGGCTTATTAAACCCTATGTGCGTGTGGGCTACCAGTTACGGGTGAGTAAACACCATCTGGTACATATTCCTTGTCTTCAATTAGAATTTTGAGTACATTAAATGTTACACAACATTAACTTTATTACATAAAGTATGAATGTCACACCTGTATTAAGAAGCCACTTGTCAAAGCTCTGGAAATAGTTTCCCTTGATTGCTATAAAACTGACCTCTATTGGTCCTAAGCTTTCATACCTCACAAAATTGTACTTGGCAGAAGTGAAAGTCATTGATATTAGAAGCAAATTTTTGCTATTTGTTGTAACTTTATCAAGACAGAGTCAAATTGATTTCTTTCTATATAACTTACAAGTAATCAGTGATACTTTATTATTATGATTGTTGTTATTTTAATTAAAGTATTATAGTGAAACCTCTATTAAGCGAACTCCTTCGGGACCTTCCCAAGTGTACACTTAATAGAGGGTGTCCACGTGATAGCGGTCGTAAAAATTGTGCAGTGTTTGTTAACAAACAACATTTAATGGTTACTCTGTACTGTTATAAAGTTGCATGTTGTTAAATAAGCTATCCAAAGTTCAAGTTCATTACCTTTCATTACCAACTTTAATTAGTTTGTAAATGCAAAAACATTAACTGACTTTAGTTCATATTTCAAGGACATCAATCCAATAGTACTATTGTCAATTCAGTCCGGTATCTTCTTAATAGGGTTTTTTTTAACAATTAATAGAAATTAGCCAAGTACAACTTATTTTAGTGCCCTCATATATCGGCTTAATAGAGGTGTCCACTGAACAGGAGTTCATTATAAAGGGAAATATCAGACGTTCGTTTCAGGACCTGGCTTAGTGTCCGCTTAAAAGAGAGGTTGTCCTAGGGGAAGTTCACTTAGTTGGGGACCGCTTAATAGAGATTTCACTGTATATATTTTAGTTGAAAGTCCTTAGTGATATGTTTTATTTGTAAGTATAAACATATAAGTTAAAGGAAATAGTTCTTTACATTGACTGACAATTTTTTTTTCTGTCAGGCTAATAACTTTGGTGTTGGTGTAGTGGGTGTTATTGAATGTGATTTTCTTCAACCAACTCATAACAAACAGGACTTTGATTACACCAAAGCATACAGGTACTGTACTTACACACTACTTGTAGGCTTTTGTTGTATGACATGTTAATTAATCAAGGATCAATACGTACAGTACATACATTTAGTGGAGATCCTAACAACTAGAATTAGAAGTTGCTTTACCATATGCCTGAGAATATGATGGAGATGAACAGAGAAACCAAAAGAGGACAAATTTTTATTTGTGAACATTAATTTTGTCTAACCTAGCAGTGGAATCAATGAGTGCAGTCATTTATCTTTGTGGTGACTGCAGGCCACTGAACGAGAAGCAGGGGTTCAATAATTGTTGAAGGGAGTATCCAAATAAGCTCATGTAGGGGGTGGTTTGCGATCAAGCTAGTAAGGATATCAGTTGATATTCAGTGAAAGAAAAGAGTGGTTTGCAGCAGAGAAACTCACTGGAGTTCAATTGCAGGTGCCAGGCCCTAGTTGTTCAAAAGGTGGATAGCATTATTTATCTAGTGGATAATGCAATAATTGCATTAATTATTGGTTTTCGGAACACTTATCCACTGGGTAGTGATTTTTCTGGTGGATAGCGCTATCCAACTTTTAAACAACTGGCCTGATCTTTATGAAAGCCTTGGAAAACATATTCATTTTGGATGTTTTTTATGGTTGTTTTCTTTGTTAAGATTTGTTTGATCATTTTCAAATCCTGTGACAGCCAATTGTCCAATGGCAGGGTTAAAACAACTGTGCTGTAAATCAAATGACTATAAAGGCCCTGTTAGTGTTAGATTCTGGCAAGTGTCATGGGCTTGAAACAGCGATGTAAGACAGATGAAATGGAGACAAAATAATGACATGAAGATCGGTTGAAACTGACAATCTCAAATATAATATGTAATTCTGAAAGCGACATTTACAAAATGACTGGTTTTGAAATTCAGACTAGGGACTTGTGGTCTCCCCACCATCACCCCACCCCACCCCCCCTCTCCTCAGAGCACCTCTTATCTAGGCAAAGTATGACATGGGGCGTTTAAATGTACAGGAAAGTTGTGACTTAGTCTCTTCATGTTTTATTATCAATCTACAGAGCTTGTATTGCTGCTCTGGGTTCCAAGCTAAATGATTACTGGTAAGGTTACTAAATTTGGTATTTGTTGTCTTTGGTTAAATTATTTTAAAAAAGTGCTCATTCACACTGAAATTTTATGTTTTATTGCTTTTGTTTTGAAATGATAATTGACAATGACTTCCTGTTGCATTTATTTTTCTCTTATGAATTAGGAATGAAAAGAAGGGTGCACAGCGTCCCAATAGCAAAGATCCCATACCCGAGCCTGTGGAAGTTCAGTAAGTAACAAGTTTGAAATGATGAATATATCAATTTCAAAGATACATGTATGCAAAGTTACAAGCTTGTTTGTTGCGCTTCTGTTTGCTTTGTCGCCATCATGAGATCATTAGTTGGGTAAGGGGTGCCCTCTGTTGATTTTAAGTGTGCTTTTGTCTGTGGTTACAGAAATTTTATTGTTGTCCTCGACTTTGTTCTTACTGTGTAGGCTTGGGCTGTGCAATGTTCAAAGGGTAGTATTCTACCATGAGAATCTTTAGAAAGGCTGTTAAAATGATATTGTTTACCTTTCAATAACAGTTTAGGGCCTCGGGGAATAATGCTACTTACCAAAATGTGTGGAGTGTTGTTTGTCAGCCGGTTGGCTTGCAGATTGTTACAATGGAGTTTACCCTAATTACCCTAAATTAATGTCTTGTATTTCTCTTTACAACGAACCCCTATTCAGCGGACACCTCTATTAAGTGGACGCAGACACTAAAATAAGGTGTATTTGGGTAATTTCTATTTTTATAAACCCCTATTAAGCGGACACCGGACTGAATTGACAATAGTAGTATTGGTTTACGTCCTTGAAATCAGACTGAAGTCAGTTAAGGTTTTTGCATTTACAAATTAAAGTTGGTAATGTAAGGTAACTTAAGCAGACACCCCCTATTAAGCGGACACTTGGGAAGGTTTCACTGTATAAGGCTGTTAAAATTTTAGTGTTTGCCTTTCAATAACAGTTTAGGGCCTCGGTGAATAATGCTACTTACCAATATGTGTGGAGTGTTGTTTGTCAGCCGGTTGGCTTGCAGATTGTTACAATGGAGTTTTCCCTAATATTATTACCCTAAATTAATGTCTTATATTTCTCTTTACAACGAACCCCTATTCAGCGGACACCTCTATTAAGTGGACGCAGACACTAAAATAAGGTGTATTTGGCTAATTTCTATTTTTATAAACCTCTATTAAGTGGACACCGGACTGAATTGACAATAGTAGTATTGGTTTATGTCCTTGAAATCAGACTGAAGTCAGTTAAGGTTTTTGCATTTACAAATTAAAGTTGGTAATGTAAGGTAACTTAAGCAGACACCCCCTATTAAGCGGACACTTGGGAAGGTTTCACTGTACCTTCATTTTTAGACTACTCCCAGACCAGATATGGGTGCAGTGTGACAACCCTGATTGTCTTAAGTGGCGCAAGTTACCTGATGGCACTGTTCCTGACAAACTGCCAGAAAAATGGTATTGTAAGGATAATCCCAATCCCAACATGAGATCATGTAATATTCCTGAAGAGAAGGAAGAGGAAATTGAACAGCCATATGTTAAAACACAAAAGAAACGCTTGTGAGTACTTTTTTCAATTTTTTTTTTTTTTTTGGGGGGGGGGGGGGGGGGGAAGGGGACCATTAGCTTTTTTTTAGTTTTTGGGTTTGAAAATATTAGCTTTAAAACTGCATCCAAGGCCAGAGCTCGATCAAACTATCCAGGTTTCAATGCATGACTTTGAGGTTTGTTTTTGGTGGGAATTTATTATTATGGAGCTCAAACAGACATGTTTTTGAGTAATGCTTGTCAACCGGAAGTGAGCCTTTTTCTAGTTTAATATGCCTTGTTGCTACCAAATTTGTATTGCTAAGTATTTTTACTCTTTTAGAGATGGTTTGCCCAAATATTTGTCTCAAAATCACGGCTCAAGAGTACAAAAATTCCACGTCCAGTTTATCTGTGTCACTAATTATCACTAACCCTGATTATTTGACATGCTGATTAGGTTAATTTGGGTGGTTGAACCTGGATTCCAGGTTAGACAGTTTTTATTCAGTGGGGGTACGTGGGATTTTGTTTTAACGGAAATTTTTGTATCACCATCTAGCCAACCTTGTCACTTTTAGTCTAGATTACCCTCCCTTGGGACAAAAAACAGCTTAATAATAGAAACATTTTTAGTCAAACGAGATTACAGTGTTTTTATTTAGACTTTTACCTTACTTGTGTACTTTGAAAGTTGGATTTCTTAAATTGATTAAAGATTAAATTGATGATATCTTACCACAGGGAAAAAGAGATGGAGGATAGAAAACGTAGAGAACGGGTAAGAAGAATATTAAATATAATTATTATCTATTATCTTGAACACTGAAAACTGCCTCCTCTCTTTTCTTTTTGATGACTTGATTAATACTGTTAACACTGGTTTGTTTGAACATTACTTGAAATGATTGCCTTTGGAGTTAACTTATGTAAAATTAATATTTTGTAAGGAGCAGCTCGTCTCTAACTATTTGTTTATTATTTTGTTGTTGTGCAATCCATGTACTATTATATATACATTTGTGAGACAAAGGTAGGCAGTTATTTTAAAAAGAACATGTTCCATTTATCCTGAAAAGAAAAATAATGTTAACATTTTGACTGTCAGAATAGACTTTTTAGGACATTTCTATTTGTTTTTTGTTTTGCTGAAGTTTCACTGTTTACAGAAATGGATGTTGCCAACATAAAAATGAGAAATTCTTCTTTAAGTTTCAACCCTTGGTTGCACTACTCAACAAACAAATTATGTTCAAAAAGTGATGTTATGATTATTAGAATTTTTTTTTAAAACTATTGAGACACACATTATTTTCAACCTACAGTTACACTTTGATAGTAAAAGTTTGTTTTCATTTCTTTTCTTTTTACCAGGAAGCCAAATTAAAGCAAGAACAGGAGGTAGGGTTTACGAGGTTTTTTGTGATGTAAGACAAGTATGCCATCCATTAGAGATTTCCACAAATTATGTAGTTTAACTTCACTCCAACATCATCCTTTCTTTGAACCCTGTTACACCCTTGGAAAATGCCGCTCATTTCTAAGTTTTTTTTTAATGCACTGGTTTCTCAGTATTTGTTGGAGATCAGACCTGCCTGCCTCCAGCACATGTGGAGGGGGTTTCAGACACAACCCACACTGAAGTGTCCAAAATAAAACTGTGGAACGTTTTTCTTGTACTTTGTACACGATAATCTGTTTGCTAAAAAGTGGTTCTAAATCACTCTTAATAATTAATTCATCAAGACCTCTAAAACTACAAGTGAAAATGTCACTAATCTGAGTTGATACTGGTATTTTCCGACTTGTTATTTTAACTTTCTTTGGTCCATGTTTCAGGCAAAAATGTTGCAGCAGCAGCAGCAAAAGGAGTTAGAGAAAAAAGAAGCAGAACTACAGAGGTATATGATGTTTGCTTTCCATCTAATGTCATTTTTCTTTACTTCACTAATTGAGTACCATAATAATATTTTATCCTTTATTTAAACTACTCTTGCTCCCACTTATTTTCTTCCATTTGGGGTTGTATATGTTATGGTATTTTGATCAGCTATATTAAGTTTACACAATGAAAAAAATGTTCAGAATTAGAGTATTGGTAATCCTCTTACTGTGCCAAATTCTTTGCATGTCAGGGAACCGAAAATGGGAAATTTGTCAGATTTTGTCTTTCACATGGTTTGTTGTTTTAACAGAACACATGATGTTCTTTTTTGATCGAGTCTCAACAATCTTTTTCTTGTGTGTTTCTTAGATTAAGACAGCAGCTGGCCGAAATGGAATCTAACAATGAAACATCAATTCTTCAATCAATTGAACAAAACAGTGCCAAACAACAACAAGCCATCAGACAGGTTAGACTTTACAGAAAATAACTGAGTAAATTTAAATACAACAAGTGAAATATTTTGTCACCTTTTTGTTTTTGATTTAGATACCCTTTTCAAGGGCTATAAACATGGTTTGTTTTAATGATTGGCCTTAACTAAATCTGTTATAACCCTTTACAGTACTTGCATGTTAACTAACATTTTTATCATGAGGAAATGTGCGGCCTTCAGCTGTATATTAATAAGCTGTAAAAGAGAAAAGTGCCAGGAAAAGCTAGGAAAAATGCCCAGAAGTTGTCAGTAGAAATTCATTTTTGTAACCTTTGACATGATCTCAGCACCCTGCACACAAGTGTTAAGAATGCATACTTAGGCAGGTGAGAGTGCGTGGTTTTTTTGTTGTTGTTTGTAGACAAATAACAATAACTTAAAAATCTACTCATTAAAATCTGATGAAATTAATTGGCAGAAATCCTGTTCATATTGCACTTCAGACATTCAAAGCCTCAAAATACATTTTGAAAAAACACGTTTTCTGACACAACCAGCTTTCTCATGAAAGCTATTTTCTTAAAAAATTCAATAGCTGATTGTTACAACAATTCTTCAAGTTTTTTTAAAAAAGGATGAGGGCTACTGATAAAACTGTGCAAATTTATAGGAAAATCTCATGACTGGTTTTTGCATAAAGCTAATGAATTCACAGTTTTAGGCTTCTTTTCAGTCATCCATGTTTCCATGGCAATGATCAAAATCTCACTCATAACCTCATAAGTTAATGTCATGTCTTTTAAATATTATTTTGTCCATGCCAAATTTGAGCTTGGAGTTGCAATAAGTCCTGAATTACACCCCACTGAATGTTAACGATCCTCAACCTATCAAACTGTTCAGCAACAACATGCAAACAGTTTTCAACAATCATGGTAATTTTATGCCAAAGTGCTCAGGACCGAGATTTATAAACATGTATTAAATGTTGATTTACATGCAGTGTATGTTGTATCTTCTTCATGATTAGAAGTTGTAACAAAGTTTCGTTAGTAACTAATGCTGATCATGTAACTAAAAAAATGCAACATTTCTGCAGCAATTTTCACATTACAGATAGTAGGTGTCTATTTCTGCTGGTGAAGTGAATGTACCAACTACTCAAAGGTTGTAGGTTTAACATCTCTCAGACTCAGAGACTGAACTCTTTATGCCTTGTATGCTGTGTCATGAGTAAAGATATCCTGATTTACTTTTTTTTTCCAGAAATACAAAATCCATCATCTGAATCTGGTGGAGTTAACAGTGTCTTTTATAATTATTTTTTTTTGTAGCAGGTAAAAGGGGAGCAGAAGTCACCTCAACCTCTCCGAATAAAGGTACATTCAGTTTCTGATTTTACTGCTGCTGTAATCATCAAGGATTTATTTTCTGGCCAAAAGAAAATTTTATTTTTCTTTCAAAAACAAACCAGGAAATTCTGAACAGGCAAGATTACACTGTACAGGTTGGTATATAGGCCCCTGCTTGGGAAGCTTATCAGAATGTAGGATTCCATGAATCTTGCCTGCTGCCAGAGCCGGCCCATATATATTTTTTTATTTCAAAATTAACTCTATTTTGTGTATGTTGTGGTTCAATTTTATCCTTGGTTTAAAATTTATTTTCTTTCGTTTTGGGCATGGTGATGCCGTATGATAGTGATTTTGAAACTAAAGAAAATACAATTTAGACCAAGGATAAAATTGAACCACAACATATACACTGATTTTAGTGAAAAGTTGCATTATTAACTTTATGTTGTGTTTTTGAGAACAAAATAGGGGAGGTTGTACCACTTGCAAGGGACTTTGTTCCCTACTCTTTTCAGTGGGTTCCTACAGGTGACATTTCCCTGTGAGTTCTTAACTTTTTTTTTCCTTCTGTTGAAGGTGGGGCCACCACATTCAAGTGGTTTTAAGGTAAATACTGCTTAAGGATTTTTCCATTTAAATTTTTGCTTCTTTTTGCCCATTAAAGTTGTGGATATTTAGTAACATGGTTTAAATTCCATATCCAGTTACTGCTATTAACAACTGCTGATATCAGGGAATACATGGTTAGCAAAATAAAATTATAATGTACAGCTGTAATAAAAAGCTATCATACGATACTGAGTAAGAGTTACTTGTAAGTCCTATGACAGAAGTACATCCTGGATAACCTTTTTTTTTGGAAATGTACATTTTGAAAGTTTTCATGAACATTGTAAGTTAGTGTTTTTTATGCCCAAGAAGCTGGAACCATTATGAGAGAATTTGCTAAAATATGTGGAGCAGTAGTAATTAAAATTATTTTCTTTTATCCATTGAAGTCAACTCCTGGGAGACCAATCTCACAGGCATCTCCACTTCGTACCACCATGGTGACGTCCCAAACATCAAATTCACCAGCAGTTTTAACACCAAACAGAAAACAACCACAGCAGCAGCAGCAGCAACAACAACAACAACAACCAGCTATCAAGGTTGTTAAAGTATTTTCCTCCCGTCCTCCTCCATCAAGCCAGGCCCCAACTACTGGAAACAAACCACTGGTCCAGATAGTTCCGAGTCCCCATGGAAACATCCTACAGCAGAACAACACAGACACGACAACGCCCAAGGTAGTATCTGTACAGTCATTACAGTCGCCTGCAGCAGGCAAGACACGACTTGATCAATCTGGCCAAGTTACAGTTCAAAAATTAGTGTTATCATCAGGTCATAAAATTCATCTTCAAACACCAATTTCTCAGCATGTAACTCCTGTGTCTACCAATTCACCAAAATACCAGTTGAAAACTGTACCACTTCAACTGACACAGCCAGTGCAGCTACCAAGAACTCCTGCTGTCAGTACGCAAAATCAGCTCCCTGTGCAGCACGTTGGTACACCACTAACATCACCTGCTGTGCCGAGCAGTTACAAACCATTAGAATCATTAAAAGAAGTCAACAGACAAGCGACACAGGCATCAGCAGTAACATCACCAGTGTCAGCTGTCATCCCAGAGGTTACTTCTGCCACAAGAAAGTCACCCACTGACATCAGGAATCAAGTAACTGTTAGTGATAGATATCGATACATTGCTCCGTCACCTCAGACATCAGCCGGGGCAGCTGTAGCCGTAGCTGGTTCCACTACCCCAACGTCTGCACTGCCACCCCAGCAACATGTTCAGACTTCACCTGTCAAGTCGACTGCGCCTGTCATGGTGCAGTCTATTAACCCAGCACCGTCACAAGTATTGCAGGTATTAAAAATTACAATCACCACCCAAGATTCAACCACTTTTGTAATATATTATTTAAGTTAAATGTCAGGAGACAAGAATATTTCGCAATTGTAGCTACTGTAAGCACTGCACATGATTTTAAGATAAGTTGCTGTGGTGCATTGCTTAATGAAGGGTGCAATTTTCTAATCTTCCCATTAAATCAAGCCTGAGAATTTTCAGTATATTATGTTGGGCTCTCTCGGTGGAAGTGGAATTTGTTCTCAGGGACAATCCGTGATTGTTCTCTAGCTCAAGCGCTGTGTAGTTCATAATTGCAGCTCTTTTGATATACATATTGTTTTGTTACTGTAGGTGCTGCAGATTAAACAGGAACCAAAGCCTTCGGTTCCTGTTCCACCTTTACAACAAACACCTTCAAATATTCAGATCACCCAAGTGCATTCTGGGTCATCAGCAGTAGCGGCATCAACAGTAGCACCAGTTAACGTGAAGATGGAGAAAGTTGACACGTGAGTTAGAACTTAACAACATAAGCTTTTCCTAATTAACATCCAAATCTGCAAAAATTAGGTCACCTAGTAACAGGTAACAAGACAAAGCGGGTAGATGACAGAGGAGTTTTTCTCCGGTGTAATTATTCCAAAGACTAATGAACTTTATTTATCAGCAATGACTTGGGGAGTTTAATTACAAGTGTCCGTTTAATACAGGTTGGCAACAATAGAAATGACCATTTCAGGTACTTTTTAGGTGTCCGCGTCTGCTTAATAAAGGTTTCATTTAAAGTAAATAAGGGAAATAAATATTTGGTGACTTCGGCATCGGCTACTGTCCGCTTAATAGAGGGTGTCCGCTTAATACAGGTTTCACTGTATGTTGTATGGTATTGTAACTAAGCTGTGTGGTATTGTTTCAGGCCTCTTGTAAATGGCATCAAGAGAATACGTAATGACAATGATGACGTCATTGAGCAACCGCCCAAACAGAAACCCCGGGTCGAGAAGGAAGTTATCATTATCGACGATCCAACCCCTCCCCCTCCACCAGAGGAAGAAAAAGTCGAACCGGAAATAAACCGTGATCTTGCTGTAGACGGTGTTGACAAAGACTTGATAATTAAACTAAGAAAATTGAGCCCAGAAGAACAGTGGATCAAACTTGCAAAATCTGCACAACAGTTAAGATATTTGCGGGATAATGTGTGCAAACTGTTACGAGTTCTTGTACCGGAAATAGACCTCGGAGACAGAACGGAAATACTTGACAACACAACTGTGGATGATCTCTTAAAGCAGGTTTTGGAGGCCAATATACAGCCGCCCAGTTCAACAAACTCGTGATCAACGTCTTCATCGACTGCTTTTTAACCTCGTTTCTGCTCCCACTTTTTGTGATGGATCCACCACTCGTGCACTTAATAGGAATGTTTGGTTGATGATTCATGTCAGTGGGATAACTTTGCAATAGTTCTGTCAAGGAATTTGTTTCTCCTCCGTTTTTAAAGCGTAATGATATCATGGACTCGGGGAAAGATACCTGAAAAACCTTGCTATAATAAGAGTGGCTCACACCAGATGCAAATAACAACATTTTAATAATATCGGTGGAGTGATTTTATATTTACTAGTCGTTATTTTCAATGATTTATATATTTGTGCTAGCTTTCAACAGAAAAATATTCTCTGTTGATTTTGTAAATATAAACTCTTCCAAAAAGGTTTTTAAAACAGTGCAGTAACTCGTATACGTAGTTAATTAAAGGCGTCAACACAAACAGTCGTGTGTCATTTCTCATTTTGACAGTTCAAGGGGTTTGGTATACCCTGCGGCGAGCAGAGGCCCTTCGAAACCGGCCAATATTTTGCTAGCGGCTATTGTTATTGTTGCTATATGGACAAGTTGCACCCCTCCCCTCTCTTGCCCGCTCCGCCCAAAAGTTTACCAAGCTTCACCTAACTGGACTTAACTTTCAAATGAAGTAAATCTTTCTAGTGATAAATGTACGAAGACCACACACGTGTTTCGAAAAAGAGATTAAAATGTGTTGTCGCGTGTTTAAACCAATATCTTTTGTTGACGATGTCACCGTGGCCGTTGCTCTCTTTTAGGAATAAATTATTTGTTGCTGGACTAAAATTCGTGCGTTTAGGCGTTCCCTTCATACGAAACCACCTTCCGTGTGAACAGAGCGAAAATATGGAACGGGCCTGTGTGAACGAAATGGTGTCTGGGCAAGTTTTAGCACAACCTCGTTCCCAGGGTCCTCCCCTTCCCGTCCCTACGGAGGAGGTAGGAGAGAGAACCTGGGAACGAGGTTGGTTTTAAAGCCGGTGGAAAAATCGTTCAGTACCGTGTAAAACCTTGTAAAGGTAGCCACTCAAGAACTTCGCACTCACTTTTGTGAAAAAAACTGTAGAGCTACTTTGATTTGAAATTTGGAAGGGACTATGAACATTTTCAAAAGAAAATGAAAAGGGCAAAATCTGAATGAAAACCCCTTAAAACATCGTAGAAAGAAAACTTTTTACGTGACTGGCTTGAAAGATTACCATCTCTTACTCACCAAGGATTAGGCATATGTTTGGTGGCATAATTGATGAAGTCCTGTAACGTCTGTTTAGGAAGCGATGTTGAAGCCCTGAAGAGTTTAAAAAGTGCCGTGCTACATTCTATAAAACCACTTTGGTCAGTTTTACAGCAATAGTCACTTCCGCTAGAAAACAACAGAGTGAAGGATTCTTGTAGTTGTAGCAATGTGACGCCATGGTGAAAAATGGTCCCTGTCTAAGATGCACCCCTCACGGTGACGTAAACAAATAAAACAAAGAAGTAAACAATATAATCTAGAAAAACAAAAGGGGCGAAACAAAGAAAAAGTTCACAGGTTCTTACACCGAGGTAAACCTAATTGATGTCATGGACACAGGATGCCAGGGGGACCTCATTTTGATCACGGTCTTGGTAATAGTAATTCACAAAAAATTCACATTTTGTTTTGTAAAATAATAGGAAGTAAATAATATCATGCAAGAGAAGTTTCATTTGAGTTGTAACACCACAGGACTTTATTCGCAGAGAGAAAAGTTAGAATGACAAATAATCTCGCCCTGATGTGTACTAGGAGTATTTGGGTTCTTTCCCTAGGTGATCGTGCAGGGCTTTTGACTGTCATGCGCAAAGAACGAAACTTGACCGGAATGAAAAATTTACGAAGTTGCAGGAGAGTGGATCTCGGCACAAACTATAAACAACGGGGTAACCACGCCTTTTTGACATGGGTTTATACTGCGTGTTACGAGTGACCGACATCAATTTCCTCATTTTTTTTTTTTCAAAATCAACACTTCAAGAAAAAGTTCATGAGATTTGATAAAATGATCACAAAGGCGGGAAAATGCTATGATTATCAAATTCTCTCAAATAATTCTTTAGGAAAGTCTACGGAGGTCAGTCTGGACAAATTGTATTGAGGCTTTAAGAGTTGACGGAGTTCAATAATTGTCTTTACCAAGCAACAGGGCCACAGGCCATCAAAGTTTTAACGACCATGCAGTGAGCTGATTCATCGTATCATTGAAGCTTCCAAAAGAGATATCTCAAAACTAGGGAGGAATGTTTCAGTAGAAGTACATTTTTTTAAGGTATGAGATCGCTAGCTGTTGGATAGTGAAAGGAAGCGACCTTCTACCGTCTTAGAAATAGAAAGAGCTCGTAAAGACGTAAAAATGGCACTGAAAGAGGGTATCGATTGAGCGAATTTTACTGTCTGTTCATAGACTAAAAGAATCCGACGAGCACGAGCGAGTGGCGATCATTGAATCCCCGTGGATCAAATTTTCGCTTACCCGCTCGACGATCTCTCAAGTCTGTGAACAGATTAAGCCAACTAACGAAAGAATAGTGTAAGTTTTAGCGGATTTGCTCTTGGCTTAAGGCGATTTCTTCAAAGATTTTTATCAACAATTTTGCAACACGTTGTAAACGTCTGACAAGGGCCTTTTTTAAAAAATTCATCTTGACTTTTAGCTACTAACGCAACATTTATACCCACAGAACTCAATGACAAACACTGTTTTTTTTTTTTGCATATTTTAATTTATTTTAGTAGTACAAAATAAAATTGTCTTCAGAAAATCCCGTTTAATCAGTACTAATTACAGCTTATTGTTTCAGAGTAACCTTTGTACAATAAAAAATACAATTGAGCGCTAGACGTAAGATTCTTCTGTGGACAGAATTTTTTCGATATCATCATGAGAGGGGACTGTGTACGGTGTGCTCGGTTGTGTCTGGTACGGAGTACGTACTTTAGCTATCGCCTGTGCGGTTTGAGGGCTGATTTTCAGTCCGTTCGCCTGAGTAGTTTCACTGAGCAATTCCTTGATATCACGAATCTGCGTCACGTCCGTTTTCCCTTCAGAAAACGTCGAGTCGTTGCCGATGCTGGATCGTTCATCCAAACTCGACACAGACGATGACGAAGAAGTTGCGCTGCCTCTCCGAAGTCGGAAAGCGCCAGGCGAGTTAGAGTTCGGAACTGCCGAAGTTCCTCGAGTATCTACCGAAGAACCCCAATGCGTTTTTGTCTGAGCTTCGTGTGGGAAGAACTCCGAGTGAGGAAAATGAGTGAGAGAAGAGTTATGAGGAATGGAATTTGAAACATTTGATGAAACAGAACTACTGGCGGAACGAAGCTGGCCAGAGCTTGCACTTGATGAAATAGGTTTCCTAGCATTTTCTGTGGTTTGTTTTTTATAAGATCCTTCGCTGATGTTTCTCTTATGATGCAGGTTCAGTCCAAATGGTGAATGTTCGAGTTTCCGGACACCCGTATTCGCTACAGAACCCGCAGAAGAATCATCCACTTGTTCAAACACATTTTCATGCTGGCTTGACGAGGACAGAGGGGTTCGAGGACCCGAGGAAGTCTCACTTCTTTCAGAATCCAACCGATCGTGAAAAAATCCAGGTCTCCCTGCCACACGATACTGTTGTACCTGCTCTTTAAATTCCACAAATTCCTTACTTTCCCTAGGAGAACCTTGTTCCTTGCTAGAGTCCACATCTTTCGCATCCTTTGTGTCTAACCCTGGGAAAAACGCGGGCTTTGGATTCAGTTCCCTCCTACGCTGCATATGCTCTTGATAAGACGGAGCGGCTGGCTGTCTTCGCCGATCTACAGCTTGAAAGACTTGATCAGGGTTAGGAGACGGAGATCGGGGACCCCCTGGGGGCTGTTTAGATACTGGGGAGCTAGGCGGAATAGGAGAACTTGAGTTACCCTCACGACTATCGGTATTCAAACTTTGTGTTTGAACAGAGTGCTTGACTTCTAAAGCCCGTGACACAGAGCCCGGATAACTTGGTATCAAATTAAGACGTTGATACTGCGTGACATTTTGCGTTACAGGAAACAGTCGTACAGTTTGAGGAGAATGGGCTCGGCGCAGCACCGCAGTTTCTAACTTGCGACCACTGGCTGTAGTCTTTGGAGCTTGTTTGTGTTCTATAAGTTCAGCACTTGTCGTTGTACTACTCAACTGTCGTTTAGAGTTCGGAAATTTCCGATTACCCTTCAGTCGAAGTTTCAAAGAATCCGGCGGTAACCCGAGCGGTTCGGAACTACGTCGTCCGAGCGGCAAATGTCCTTTGATTTGATTAGGTTCATAAAAAGTGGCTCTAAGTTGATTAGAAAATTCGCCATCATGCCTCTTAAGCGGCGGCGATGAACTTGGAGATGGAATCCCTGAATCACACGGAGAGTTCGGAGTGCTAATACTCTTGTTCGGTGGATGCACGGCCAGCGTACTCGAAACATATAAGTTCGAATCACTTAAATGAATTGAAGTCCTTTCTCCTTTGGGACTTAGAGGTTCAGGTGATTCTATCCCATCATCGGTAGAGGATTGACTGAGAGCTGTCCGTGAGTCCTGGGTACTACCCTCAGAATCACTACCTACGTGATTAGCAGCGAAATCGGTTCGGTCACCGAGGGTTGTCCTGACACTGTCTCCCATAATATCAACACAACGCTCAATAATAAACTGTATGACCGGGGGAACTGAGTTTGATTGTTCAGTGGCCGGAATATTGGAACTTTTGGGTGCCCACAGCATGCTGGGAGCCACGCACACAGCGAGGTTATAAGCGTTCATATTGTTTGTTTCCGCATTATCAGCGATGTGATACAACACGCACAAAAACCTTTTTAACAGTTCGTAATTGTAACGGTTGATTCCTTCCAAAATCCTGAAAAACAAAACACAACAGGGGTAGAATTAACGAAATCGGCACGGGCAACAAAAAATTTACATACTTTGTTTATACTGTCAGTCTTAATAGCTTCAGCTAGAAACTCTCATCTAGCGAGTGAGAAACTGGGGAACTCAAAAAATTAGAAACAAATAATTAAAAAAGAACAAAGCAGTGCTAAGAAGACCGACAGACCAGAGGCAAACAGCTGGCTATTTCAAGCATGGTCAAGGACTTGACTGGGGACTAGCAAGAAACAAATCGGAGTGATCGGAGCGGGACTCGAACTCGGTGCGCGGCCCGGCACGCTGCCCCACCGGCCACGGAGAACTCAGAAGATGATGTTTAGTATTAAGTGGAACTGATGGCTTGCCAAAACCGAAGTCACCACCAACTAAGCTCCTCAAAACTACCCTGTCTAGGGAGTTGACGGGGGAGAAGTAAAAAAAAAACGGGGGGGGGGGGGGGGGGCCCCAAACCGGGGCGCGGGCCCGGCCCCCCCCCCCCCCGCCCCCGGGAAATCAAGAAAAATTTTTTTATTTTTAGTGGGAAATTGGGCGTTCCCAAAACCCAAACACACCCCACACAACTCCCCACAAAACCCCCCCCCCCCCCCCCCCCGAGGTAGTAATCGGTACGGGACCACCATTTTACGTGGTCATCACCGCCACGCGAAGGTCAAGCCATTTGCGGGGCAAAGGCAGTACCTTCAGTTCTTAGTTATTTTAAGACCCTGAGTACTGGTCCGGTCCCGGGAATTGAACCCACGGCACGACCTACCGCTCTACACTCAAGCGCTCTACCGACTGAGGTAATCCTGCCGCGGTTAACATGTGATAACAGACATACAAGTGTACAAATTATTTCGTAAAAAAGTGCCTCCTACCCCTTGATTTGTCGCACTCTTTCCTCACGATCTTCGAGGTTTGTGGTAGCGACAAGATCTTCATAATTTTCACTTTCAAAAATACAGTCAGGTAAGCGACGAAGAAATTCCTAAAAAAAGTGACAATACACACCATTAAAAATAGAGCAACAACAGCTTATTTATAGTTATAGGAACATCTTAATTCAAACAGGTTGAAAAGGAGAAAAACCAGTCCTCTAGTCACTGGCAGAGCGGGAGTGGTTTTCACCAAAAGGTATGCGAACACTCAAGCCATTTAAAACTTGATTTCCATTGATTTCTTTATGATTCTAAGCGTCTAACCCGTTATCTTCATCACTTTTTTATGACAGAAGAAACAAGAAGAAAAAAGGACTTTGTTTGGTTTAGGCGATACACTGTAACAGAGAAAAACGCACGGTATGTAATGTATTTCTTATGACAAGTTACCTTAAATACAGAGGCAGCTACAACTTCCGAAACATCTTCAAAGTCACAGACTTTACCTGAAAGCAAACGGCCACTCAATTAACAAGGAAACTGCAGACACTAACATACTGATCACTCAATCACTGATTCTACCGTATTTCCTCTATTTCGATCTCTTGGGCTTCGGTGTTTTAGTGGTTTTGGACTGGGGTTTATTGAGGAGTACTTATACAAGCAAGATTTCTGTAACAAGTTTCGAAGGAAACCTTGCTTTTTAAAGTGCACTTTAAAAGGGGGCGCGGCTCATCCAACGCTAGGAGGTTATTGCTTTTCGGTGGCAAGTTTATATATAACTTCATTCTCTTTTTTTCAAGAAATGCTCAGAGACAAAATGATCACAACGCTACGGGTGCTTATAGGAGAGGCTGTGGTTGAATCCTGCATTTGCTTCAAATCAACAAACCTTCATCTAACTCCAGCTTGATTTCTCTAGCAATCCTGGCATTAGCAGACTTCCGGAAGATTCCGGTAGTATTGGGTCCATACCGGAAGAGGTATAACAACAGTTCCAGGACAGCTTTGGGTACAGGTTCATCCTCGGAACACAACTGACTCAAAGGTATCCCGAAAAGCCTGGGAACGAGTGGAGAACAAACACAATTTTAACTAAGGATTAACAAATGAGAACACAGAGTAAAGATTTCACGCTATTTGTCGACTCTGTTACAAGTGCAAATAAATAATTACAGCAGAGCCGTGTTTTAAAGGCTACCATCAGATATTACTTTCTGGACTCTGTTGCATCAACATGTACATTCTCCTCATGTGCCTTAAACACACCTTTCATAAATGTAGTACATGTAGACTGTTCAAGAGCCTATATTGTATACATGATTATTTGCTTAATACACGTTATCTGTCTAGTAAATTCAGCAATTATGTTACAAGGACGAATTTGTTACTGATCACCGTCAATAAATATGAGAGTTCCTTTAAGAGAATGTTAATAATTAATAATTATTCCTCGAGCCCGAATGGGCTCTGAGTCAATAACCCATGAGGCCGAAGGCCGAATGGGCTATTGACTCAGAGGCCATGAGGGCAAGAGGAATAATTGTTTTAGTAAAATCCAACTGGTTGGTCAAAAATATCGAGCATAAAAAAATTTTAGCTAGTTAAAGCTAGGCTTTAATCCAATTTTTTGCCGTCAAAAAGCCCGCGCTTTTCGCTACTAGGGGGCTATAACATATAGCCTAGTAGTAGCTCAACCAATCAGAACGCAGCATTGATAATAGACCCCGAGTTGGATTTTACTAAAAACTGATAGTTGACGGGAAGTACGAATAAAGCCGCGCTGGAAAAGTAGCGGGTGGACAGGCTAACCAACTATTCAGCAACTTTATTCATCCATTGTGTTAACATGTCACGACATGTTTGATTTAATAATTTGAGAACTGGGTTAGCCTGTGTACAGATGCTCCCTCCCCTCAAAAAATAAAAGGCAAGTTGGTGTAAAATATAGTCGAAGGAAGTCATGTTTTTTCACAAGTAGGCAATTTTAACCTTGTTACGATACTTCTGTTTACTTACTTTCCTCCTGCATGTCCGTCGATGGAGTTGGATTTTGTTGATCCTGTTGTCTTTTTGTGCATGGCCCAGTTGATGATTGGTGACTTTTTTATCGGATTTTTCCAGCGCTGTTTGCTAGGAGCATTATGTACGTCTGAAAATACATGAGAACAAGAAAAAAATTAAAAAGATTGACAGTTGGTTCATTGATTCCACACTCAATGTTTTCTTGCGGGTTAATTGATAAATTAACTTCAGGTCTTCGTAATCATCGCGAAATGACAGACTTAGACAATTTAACTTGTAGAAAACGAGGAATCGATTCAACTTTCTCTGTGAACAAATGTTAAGCGCCATTGGCCTGAAACTAAAACCAAAAGTATATACTGCAGCAAGAAATTGACCACAAGCTTTCCTTCAAAATTCAACACTAAAAAGAACGTAATAGTCATTATCAATAAACGACGAAAAAAGCAAATATCTAGCAGTATTTCACTTCGTAGTGTTTACATGAATACTTGCTTCCCGCGGTAGTGCGTCATTTACGCGGGGAATTTTCGGCAAATCCGCTCTTCTGATTGGTTGTTCTATCGTCCCCATCAGTCGCTTCTTTTGAACTTGCTGACATAATGCATTTTTCCCGAGCCATAAGAGGCCTTAACTAGGCTTGGATAAATTCTGCTCGTAAAATGGCTTATTCTGCCTGCCGGCACTGCTCGTAAAAATCGCTTATTCTGCTCGAAATTCTGCCGGCATAATTTATCCAAGCCTAGCCTTAACGCGCTGATAAAAGCGGCTAGTTTAACCGCATCTGACCTCTCCGCACTCTTGTTGCCTGTGTGAGTAGCTCCCCCCGTCTCACCTATAATGACTCTGTTGGGAATTTTCCTGTTTCTCTTCAATATAAACTGGCACTGTGTCTCTGGCGACAATGGGTCTATTGAGGGCAACTGCTGATCAAAGTCGAAAGGAAACCCATCTTCATCTGTCAGGGCTGCCTCCCTCATGTGATTCATTTTTATCGCAAAGGGAAACTCATGACCTGCATTGAGAAAAAGCAGTTTGTTGTTAGGTAATCTAATTTTTAAAATGTTTTGCAATCAAATTTTTCTGTTATACATACAAAGTTAAACATGTCAAGTTTTAGATTATGATTCTATAGTGTATTATTATTATTATTATTATTATTATTATTATTATTATTATTATTATTATTATTATTATTATTATTATTATTATTATTGTTATTATTATTATTATTATTTCTGTCATGCGTTTTATACATGAGCCTCCGGCTAGGATACTCGCGGCAACCCTATCTATGACACTAATAAATTGATTGATCGATTGATTGACTGTTTAAAAAAGTATTTGCTATCTTAGTACTTAAGCAGAGATTCCAACCCTGCCGTTTTGGCCGGAAACCTCCCGTTTTCGCGAAATATTCTCCGGGTTTTTGAAACTCTTTCTAGTCAAAGAAATATAATGTGAACCAATCTTTTTTGGCACGATTCTTTGCCGTTTTCTGTGGTTTCTCAGCCACTTTTACCCTTTTAGCATCTGAGCATGAGCCTGCTATAATTTTGGGCGCGGTAATGCACTGATGTGATAATGAACAATAGGCCTTTTAGCTTCCACTGTTAAAAACTCCACTCTTTTCTATTGACTGTGATCTCAAAATGCAGGAAATGGCACCTTAGAGGCACATATCTTACAATTTGTCCCGGGAGAGCATGCCCCTGGACCACCCAACAGGCTCGCGCCTTTGCCGGCGCTCGCGCCGCTCCACAAACCTCTCTTTCTATCAGTTGACAGGGTTAGAATCTCTGCGTTAGCTTGTTTAAAACGATTATAACTCAAGGCATTGAATCAAGGACTTTTGTATTGGGTTTGGGAAGCCAGCCTAAGGTGCTCAAGTATGGTTTGTTAATTCAGTGTTTTATTACTCACCTATGAGTGGATAAGCACCGTCCTCCTTCCCTGAAAGAACCCAAAGCTGGTATTCGGAAACATCTTCAGTCTGAAAAGACAAGATACAGTCGAAAAAACTTTTATCACGCTTGGCATGCTGTTCATGTTCTTTCAGTGGAACGAAGTGTATATACAAACCTTAAATCCTCGGTTGAGCCCCATCTCTCAAATAAGCACCCTCCTCTTTTGAGGGGAAGAGAGTTATTAAGCTCCTCTTCCCTCCCCCCCATAAGCTTCATTCATTCATTCATTCATCCTCTAGTGCATTTATTGCTCGGTTTCGCTTACAACGAGAGAGGTAGGGTAACTCTAGAGTGAGGGCGATCCTTTATGATTGCTAGTGTCACTCTGCTGGACGGCTGTTTTGGCTGTGCGGAGGTCGAGGATAACCCTCATGAAAGGCTAATGACTGGCGCGATAAACTCTACAATTGGCAAATAACTAGCTTTAAGTGTACAAGACAAGATAGCCCTACCTTTTAACGTCTCTATAATAAAGGAGGACTAGCTCCCTCCATCTATGCAAACATGGCCTAAGAAAAACTCACCTGTGCGTGAAACTGCGTCAGAGACATCTTAACAACAGTAGAAGCATCGTCCATGTTGGACACAGTAAAAGACTTCGACTGGGAAGATAAAAAAGTTGGGAAAGAAAAATCGAATCAAACTTGTAATCAGGTGGCCCTCACTACGACCTTCTAACGCCTGGTAATGTGTAGACTAATGATCCTAGGAGCAGGGATTACGGGGAGGGTAGTGGCAGGGCAAGATTAAGGATCCTAGCAGTAAGTATTACGGGGAAGGCAAGGGGCAGGCAATTGTCTCCAGTGAAGGAATTCTTTCGTAAGCATCTTTCACGTTTTAGCATGCGACACTTGCAGTGTTTGATTGTACAGGATCAATGTTAGTTATCAACGGCGGAAAGGGTTTTTAAGCGTGGTACTTACATAGCCAGATGAATCCGGTGAGTCCATATCTCTGTTATAAACTTTTAGGTTAACGGATTTAGGGTCTTCTACGTCCTTTTGCTCTTTAATATGTCTAAAAGAGTGCAAGCAACAGTGGTATGCGGTGAATAGACGAGTGTGTTATGCAATGTTTATTCATCAGCCGAACTCGGAAATACAAAGTAGAAGTCTCAATATCACACTTTCATCCCTTACGTAGAAAAAGCATGCACGGAAAAGCGGAACCTGTTGTTAACACGTAGACCACATTTGCTTTGTTTTATGTACTGAATAAGGGTCTATTCTCGGCTTTCTGGCTGGGATGGGATTCGCCTTCCTTACAGTGAATCCCAGGATTTGGTATATTCGAACATCTCTAACATAGCAGTCTTTCCGAATACGGAAGTCTAGGCATAGGTGTAGCCGAATGTGAAGAAAGTGGATGCGGACCGATTTCCATCTTTTCATGTAAACGGTTTAATTATTTATTAAATAGGAAATTGAACTTCCATGTGTTAAAATGCAAACCATTCAAGAGATAAACGCCCCTGAACACTCCCTTGAAGCTCGTGCATTTAACACTTACGTTATCGTTCAGTGTTTCCTTTCTGGATTTGTTCCTGAATTGTCCACGATCAAAATAACAAAACAGTAAAATGCATATTTTGATCGAGGTATGTAAAGAGTGTACTCGAACCAAAATAAATTGCAGTTAATTAGGAGTGAAAGGAAAGAAAATGACTATCCTTAATTCGTTCAATCTAGCACTTACTTTGTTAATGCGCTGTGCCAAGCTTCTTTTTCTTCTGACGAACTGAAAAAAAATTCATTTTTTTAAGCTTTGGCCTTTTACGGGGGCTGAAATACGCTCAGGAGGGACGAAGACCAACTAGACTAAACTAAGAGTAGCGTAAAGCTTGTATTTTGTTTACAAACGTAACTGATGAAACCACAGCAGCCACACGGAAATGTAGCACCGGTTCATCTTTTAAACGAGTGGAAACAACTTTCTAAATACGTAATGTTGAAGATGCTTAGTGATACTGTCGCCTGCTTCTCTGGGTAAAACGAGTGAAAAAATCAAATCGTCATGCTCGCTAAAAGTAAACGGCAAATACAGTCATGTTCCATGGCCGCATATTGAAAAAGAAATTTTTGTGAATGATTGTGTATTGTTAAATTGTTCTCCGTTTGACACAAGACACAACTAGAAAGGCGCAGGAGCGGCAAAAGTTAGATAACCGCATTCCAGATGGAATTTTATAAAAGACGATGTTCTAAGCATGACTGCAGTAGTAACAATTTCATTTCAGAGACTTTTACATCCTAAGACACCTGAACGACTACAAGGAGGAGATTTTCTCAATACTAAGAAGTGCGCGCGCGTGAACCAGCGTCAATTTGGCGGGGAAACGTGATAGTCGTCGTCATTCTTCTACGAAAATTAGCGAGAATGTCGTGGTGGTAGAAACAAGTTATCAAATGTTAAAAGTTTTATCAAGTCTTGAGGTCGGGAGAGGGCTTAACCTCCTTCACTAAAGATAACAGTGCTAACTTTTCTGGTGAAAAAAGATACAATAAAGCATTCCGGGATGTCTTTTTTTTTTTTGACAACACGCGAAAAAACTTTAAATCAAATCTCGTACTTGTAGTCACAGTCGTTCTCGTCCTTGAATCTAAAGGTCTCTTTTATTTTTCTTACTTGAACGTGGCCACGAAGTTCGTGGTAGGCCAGCCGACCACAAATGATCTATCTAATGGTTTGGTAGTTTCACAGACGTCATCAAGACAGCTTGCCAACCAGATCTCGCTGACTCTTACACGGTGTTTAAGCTTGAATGACGACGTAGATCTGAAAAGACAACAGCACTCAACTTCGCGAAGACTGAATTCATTGGAATCAGAAAGAGTAAGTTGGAGAGATTTAAGACCACTTTTTTTAAGGACAACGGTGATAGGTCGACGACTGTCTACCGAAAAAAAAAAAAGAATTCCCGATAATACCCTACTGGTGATAAATGAAGGGGATGTTGGATGTTGATAACTATTACAGTTTTCTTGCACAAACGGTTCAACCATGCACCTAGAGATGAAAAGAATGGATGATCAGCCAGCCCAAGGAAGGTTTGCGGGTGAAACATGTCTCAACGGGAATTCCCTGGACTTCAAGCACTCACCTGGACTTCGCGACCAACAAAATATCATCGAATAGAAATAAATGCCTGTCTTGAGAAGACATTCCCTTGAAAGAAGAAAGGAAACAATAGAATGAAGAAAACAAATAAAAATAAACAACACCGCATAATTATGTACGGATGTTTGGAGAGGAAGGCCATATGCAAACTATAATATGGGAGCAGGCCTTCAAAGTCCAATAAACTGAATAATTAAAAAATGAAATATTAATATTTCCTTCGCTTCTTATATAATATTTTATTCCGTGGGGCGGGAGTAAAGTATTCACGAACTGCGGTAAATGAAAGATATTGTATTTCGCTCTTTGAAGCGAAAAAAGACAGAGAACAATAAAGAAAGTCTCGGCCTTTGGAATTCGAAGGCTTCAAACCTCCTACCGTTCTCAGTTAGGAGAAGTACACTGCTGATCAAATGACCACTTACTGATGAGAGTTGAACGGGTCCTTCTCTTACAAATGTCCTGGATGGGACCAGTTCTGGTGACAATGGAGATGTGGTCTCTGAGTGGGTCTTCATGCGCATGCTCCCTGCGTCTATAGTAGAACTGAAAAAAGACATTTCCAGTTAATCTACAAGAAAATAAACTTGGCTCTCGTAAGCGACCATAAGCTTATTGATGGCGGTCGCTTACAAACGTTATTAGCAAAAAGGTTACCATATTTATTTAACGTAATATCAAATAAGTTCTTTTCTTCCAGCATTCGCAGTTAGCAAACCATTAGCGCTTACGTCATGTATTACCCTAAATTCGATCAAGAATTGAAGTTAATACTTTTATCCAAGGATTTACTTACAAGAACTTATAAACGGTAATTCAGTAGAGTGGTGGCAAGGAAAGCGTCAAGTGCAGTCTTCTTACGTTCCCTCTAGTGTTCAAAAAGTCTCGTCGATTAAGGTATGCAATCGGAGAAAAACTCGTTAACGACTTCTTTGTCTGAATTCAGTCAGAGCTTACCTAATATCCAAAATGTTGTAAATTGTCTACAATTTGACTTTTGTAAGTGGACACCATTAGAAAACAAAAGTAGGGTAGTTATTTCACAGAACCGAACGGGCAATGAACCATGCAAGGTTTGGTTCTTACCAATAATAGATCTCTTCAGTTTGAAACAACCTCGGCCAAATTAAAGGCAATATGTCTTGAGCAATGACCAAAATTTTGTATAACAGGAGGCGTATTAAAACTAAGCTTTTCCAGATGTTAAATTTTGATGTACAATGTCTACGTCTGCTTGTAATTTAGTGTGGGACCAGGCTGCCCAGTTAGGGAAAAAGGCGATTTTTTAAAGCCGTTTCACTCCATATTTTGCCACTTTTTCTCCACAGCGGAACCAGGTCCCAGGCCACTTGTAATTTGTCACTTGAAATGGTCCTCACGCGACTTCATCTGAAGTACACTTTGATTAGACATACTTAAAATATTAGCCGGTCGTTAACAAGTTATACAAGTTTCATCAAGTACAATTACGATTGAGTGTCAGTTGTTACAAGAGCAAAAAACCGCTATGAGTGAAGGAATACTTCATTCTCGGTTGGTTAAACGAATTTAAACTGCGTCATATTCAAGAGCTCAGTAATTTAGGACAAGAGGAGTTTCCGAAACTTAACTGAATAAATACCAGGTCTTTGGCAAAAATGATGTTAAAAAGTTTTCAACAGGACGAAAAGATCCGTTTAAATATTCTCGATAATGATTTCACAGCCGTGCTTGTCATCAAAGTCTTAACGTCGAGTAGATAGTAGCACGTTCTAGAGATACTGAAACGTGTCCAAAAACATGACGCCTTCGAAAAGAAGTAAGGGTTTTACGAGTTTAGGGTAGCCATTCAAAATGGCAGTGACCTACTGCGCGATAAGTATGTAGTATGCAGTCAAGGAACATTCTGTCTATGACCAAGAGAAGAACTGAGTTGGGTCTGTACGCCTGCCAGGCTGACAGCTTCACATTACCGTGATGTTCCGGCTTATTGAGGCCATTCTTCTCAGTAATGATTTACATGCAGTACAGTACAAGATATGTCTAACTTTTCACTTTATCCAGAGGCACTGGGTCCGTAAAGCAAATACTTTTATTTTGAGGCCATACATATTGAGAAGTAGGTTTGCACAGAAACTGTTATCATGCCGAGAAGGTGGGTTTGACTTTTGGCTTTTTGGTAAAATCGTTAAGTGTATCCTCTAAAACAAAAACTAACTAGCGGTACTCAGTTTTCGGCGGTGCTGTTTATGATGGTGAAGAAAGAAATTCCAGGTTTGTCCAAGCAAACGTGAGTTATAAAGCAGTACTTTTTTGTTATGCTGCACTAAGAAGTTTCTACCTTTTCGTGGAGTGTGTTTTTCCAGCCAAAGCCGCCTTAATTACAGTCGTTGGAGCAGAGCGTCGCCTCGAGGCTGCTTTGTGACGCTGTTGACATAAAAGAAAAAAGTTAAAATAGACGCAGAGGACCTTTAGGCGACGAGATGCCGGTATGCCACTTTTAAAAGACAAAAATCCACAGAGTTCACGGCAATCGACAAGGACGACCACGTCACCACATCACCGACTGTTGACCAGTCACTCATTTCGTTTGGGTGTAGAAATCGTATGGCGGTAATTTGTTCCTCAAACTAGTTTGCAAGCAGGCTCTCTTTTATTTTGTTCGTCTGAGACCTTAGCCTGTCGTGATTAAGGGAGTTTCCTTTCAGGTTAGCTGCAAACGTCACATGATATTCAATCTCGCTATATTGGAATATAGTGTACAGAATGACTCAACCGATAAAAAATCACAAAGGCCTCGCAGGGAAGACCGCTGGTCTAGCCCCATTGCAGCCTCGTAAAATCATTGGTCAGCCCTTCAACTGTCAACAAAGCTGAGGAACTCACATGTAAATTCTGTTTCTCTGACAGGCATAAATTGTCACTAGGAAATCTATCTTGTATGTCGTAGATTTTACACTATGGAGAGATAAAGAAGAGAAGATAATATTAGTCAATGAAATGTGTAGGACGCAAAGGGTAATGTCTACATTTTTGGAGAAACAATACTTTGAATTAACCACCCCAAATAGTCTAGATATCTTGGATTTATCTAAATTCAACAACTGCCTGCTTTTTAGAGCTCAGATCTCAACGAAAAATTATTAAGCGACACTGGGCAAAATAGCGTGCAGTCACCCAAAAGCCGTGAAAACAATAAACAGCCAAATAAGTTGTATGCAAAGGGCGGGTCCGACAGCAAGGAAGCAACATGGAATCCAAAATGTTTTGTAAGGGTAAATTAATAAAGGAGTTTCAATAATGCACGTTTCGCTTGGATTAAACACTGACTTGAAATACAACAGCGTTTTTGGTAGGATACATAATGACCAGAAACTCGAGTTGTTTGCTTTGGATTTGCTGCTGCTAAAAATCATTCTCGCGTTCGTTTCCTCCGCTTGTCGCTAGATGCATGTCTTCACGCTTTCTTCAACGCGGTCACGCGAACGAAATTAAGGGAAATCAAGAGGTTATCATTATTACTATTCACAGTTTGATCCATTGTGTAAGTTGTTGAGTTACTAAATTGTTTAGAGGTTTACTAAAAACAGTTTTACGTTGCTTGAAAACAACTGGAGTAATGCGACTTGCGAACCCCATTTGTCAAAGTGAGTTTCAATCTACCCTACTAAGATGAAGCATTTTAAAGCCAAACAAACTCCTTTTCGTTCAAAAACGATGGAAGTCTTGATTCAGTAACTATCGAAACTGATCTCCATTCTCAACAACATTGCACGTGATTAAGAAAAATAATGCCTCTAATGTTTCCATCACATCGTTGGGCATCTTGGAGAAACATCAGCGTACAACTGACCCTTTTAACGTGACGAAACAACGTAAAACAATAGAGGGAAAAAGGGACAACGAAACACGATATAAAACATCGATTCCATAAAATCGTCCGGTACCATTTCTTGTATATCAGTGATAAGTCTTATTTACTCGGGGTCCTTGTTTCATTGCCGTAAAACGTCTAAATGTATGAGCCCTAAATGGCAACAAAGAGGTAACCTGCGATGCACCTTGATACAAAGAAAAGTGTTTGATAAGGTGCTGTTTGTAAACGTGAGAAGGCAGGGAGGTTTTAAATAAGGTCTTATTGTTTGAGAGAAAAGAGTTTCCGTCGTCTATGAGTAAATGAAACCAAATACTAGGTAAGTTATGGAATAGCGACAAGAGGTACTTCAGAAGTACGATACACTTGACGATACGTGACAAGTAATCGATCATACGATGCTTGCTTGCCTACAATTAAATTGCAAACGATCGGGTTATTATAACAAGAAATCAGATACAAACCAGGTAAAGAGAAGTTGAAAAGTTAAGATGCGTGAGTTTATAGTATTTTGCGAGATAAAGTTAAGCACGGCTAAGCTTCTTCATGTGTTTACATGCAATACGAGGAAATCATGCCCGTAACGGATTAGACATTCCTTTATCATATCGCATGCCTTAAAAAACGGATGGGCAATCTCACACAACTGAATTAAAATGATAACAAAACTACTACGACGAGATAAACAAATGTGAAGCTATTCCAATGCGGAAATTCAAAACAGCGCGATATTCCAGGTGCGACCGACAATCAGGCTTGTAACGAGTAAAGAACCGATTATATTTCTCCTGACACGTGTCAAATTAAGAAAACTTGAACTTTTTAAAATTTTTGAAAGTGATCCAGTGTTTTTCAATGACAGGAAGAAGCCGAGAAATAAATAGCCCAATTTCTAGTTTAAATTAAAATATAAAAGAAAGAAAGCAATATCTCATGCACACATTTCTACAACAATCTAATGTTTAAGCAATTAAAAGCTGACCTTATTCCTAGAGATGATATTTTCTGAATTATATTTATTTAGATTTGAGCTCTTTTTTATCGCTTAGGCAAAAAAGCGCTCTTTCTTTTCTATTTTTTTTTTAAAGGTCCTCAAACGTATCAGAAGTACTACGTTTCAAGAAAAATGATTATAGAGAAATTAGAGAATTGAATCATGAAACACCTTGACGGAGAGCGATGCTCAACACAGACCATTGTCATATCAGTTTAACAACATTTCATCGAACAAGTACCAGTTTAGGAGGAAGCATGTTAAACATTCGTATTTTAACAGCAATACCTGGTCTATATCTGTTCGCGTTTCGATGGCCCGGCGAACAACCACTGGACTTTGCGATGGCACAACACTCAGGGACACCGCGTATGACGGTGTTTGGGCCTTACGCAAAGGAACTTTAGTCGCCATAGTCTTTTTCGTTCGATGTACAACCATGAATAGCTGAATCTCTTATTCTGTGAGGTGGCCCAAATAATCAATGAATCGTCTCCGGTGATTCAAATAGGACTGGGCTGTGTCCGCTTTCAAGGACTGCGGAAAAGATGACAAAAAAGGCCATGCTTTCGCTGTAGATATATTTTCCTCAAGTGACAGATTTGGAATGCAATAGATATCTACTAAATAAATTCGTGATTGGAGATGTAACGTTCCAAGGAAGTTCGTGAAGTTTTGAAGCACCTCCGCGTTCCTCTCCTTTTCAGAGAAACGAGCTACAATTGATCCGGACAGATTATCGCTTTTAAAACCTTTAAATCCTTTTGCCCAGCCATAGTGTTTGCTTGGAGCTCGGAGCCCGCCCGACATTAGAGAGAATGATGCGTACGGCGGTCTGATTTCATCACTATCAACGAATGATAGAGAGTGATTGCATTTCTTGCATTTCAACGCCGTATTGCTTTCATGAGAGGCTGGAATTGAAATGAGCCTCATCCAGAGTAAACTATATTTAAACCGAACTTTTTAAAGGATAAGTCTTTGAAAGGAAATAGAAATAAAATTTGAGTTTTAAGTATAGACTTGTATAACATACTTAAGAGTCTTAGGAATTTCACTCGAGACAGGGATAG